CCGGACTCAGGTGCAGTCCTACCTCCCCGCCCTCGAGAGGCCGCCGGGCGCAGCTCGGGGCGCACAGAGCAGATCCAGCTCCTTCCTGACGCCCGGGCAGAGCCCGGCCCCGGGCAGTCCCTGGGCCGAGTAGCTGCTGAAGTTAGAACGCAGACTCCGGGGACCCCGAGTTTCGAGCAGGAATCCGCAGCCTCGTTCTAGGACACGGCGGGTGGAAGTGGGTGGACCAGCGTTTGCCACGACTGTTCTTCGAAACCCGAAACCCGGGCTTCCGCCTCTTCCCATGGCCGGCTCTGGGGCTGAAATGTCTAGCGGCAGATCCTTTCTGTCTCCTCCGACACCCCAGCTCCGAGTGAGGGTGGGGGGTTCTAGACTGGGAGAGCCTGGCTCCTTCCGCTGGCCGTGCTGGGCCCTGACGGGTGGACACAGGGGAGAGGGAGGGATCCGCAGCTGCCTTTGACTCTGGGGTGGTGACAGCGGGGCCATGTCTCTGCCCTTTCGGGCGCTGCATCACAGTCACAGAACGGGGGTCCACGTAGACTCTGGGATCCCTGGCATGTCCTCCCGTCTCTTCTCCTTCGGTTTGCCCCTCTCCTCTCATCTTTCCACCTTGGCAGTCTTTGAATGCTTTCTAAGACTCATTAAATGAAGTTCCATCTTAGGTTTCCTGGATTCTACTCTTTCTTTTCATAGTAAATGAAAAATAAAAAGAAAAGAAAAGAAAAGAAAGAAAAGAAAAACAAAACCAAACCTGTACCACCTACTCTAGCTGTCTTGATTTCTCCACTGAAATTGGTCAGAGGCAGGAAAATGCAGGGCGGCTCCAACCCCACCCCCTTGCAGGAGGTGCTCCTGGAACCAGAGGTAGAACCACCCACAGCTTGCCCTGCCACCTTCTCTTGGCAGGCTTAACCTGGGCTTCTGCTAATACAGGTTGTGAGGCATCGGGCTGTGTTGATGGACAGTCAAGAGAAAGGAACCGCATCCAAAAGTCAGCTTCACTGCTTCCTAATCAGTCCATAACCGAATTTTGAAAATATAGAACATCACAGAATAAAAGCAGACCAGGCTTCCTGCTCCCCTGCTCCAGGAGTTTCTGCTCCAGGAGTGTGGGAGGCTGGTGGGAAGCAGAAGGGAAGTGTGAACTTTTTAAAGGGAGTCCTACTGTTAGCTGTCATCTATTCTGGGGCCCCAGACCTCCTATATACATTGCTGCTGACATGTGACTTCACCTGAAGAGGCCATTAGGGTCAGGTTTAGTTTTTATTAGACCAGTATTTGACTGAGCCCCTGCCATGTAGTAGACACTGTGCTAGGAACTCGTGTATATTTTTCCCACTTAATCTTTCTACAGTCCAGTAAGGTAGTTCTTAATATCCCCCCACCTCACAGATGAGGAATCAGGGCCAGAGAGGGGACTTGGTTTGTTTGGGAACACAGTGGAGTGGCTTTGAAATCACAACTTTGTGACTCAGGCTGAATTGTGACTTTCATGGGCCTTTTCCTACATAAAACAAATAATAACGGTCTATTTCGTATCTGTGTTGTTGGTATAGACACAAATGTCTTCGAGATCAAATTAAAAATTAAAACATTTTCTTTGACCCTAAAAATTTATCTTTTCTTCTGTAACCACCTCCTCCACCCCTGCCAAGCTACGTCTCCATCCCTCCTGACTTTAACAAAGATGAAAATCTTTTTGCTTTTTAAGTATTGGGAGCCACCCAAACCTGATGGTGACTTCAAGCCCTGCTTTCTTCCTCAGGTACCTCAGGTGTGGAGTTGTAAGAAAATGCCCCTTTGCCTTCTCTTTCATTACATTCTGGGACAAGCCAGCTGTTTTCACCCATCAAAAGATCGCCCCCTCCTTCATTTAACTCAAAACCCTGCTGATAAGGAGGAACGTGGCTCTGCCACGCTTCCCTCTATCCTGTCTGCCCCAGGCTGTAGAACATGTGCAGTGTCTGGTCCCTAATAATGAGATTAGGCCTGGTCGCCTTTTAATAAGACACAGTGGGTATGAGGAGGGAGCTTGTGGCTTAGCAGGGCAGGTTAAGCCCTGGGGGAAGCTCTGTCCCTGTTTGATTGCATTAAGTGGCGTCTGGCTGCAGTTTGTGTGCTAGGGGTGTGTTTGTCACAGCCTAGTTTTCTAGAAGCTGCCAGAAATCTGTCACCCCCACCCTGTGCTCTCACAGAAAAAGGAGAGTGGCCAAATAAAGGGCAGCGTGAGTACCTCTAGTTGCAAGACCCGTCTGCTGGTCAGAGCATACCTTTGGCGTGGAGAGGGCCACTTCCAGGCCCTTGAAGTGCCTGGGGACCAAGTCTGAACAGGAACCAGGAAGCTGTCATGGGAGGGGAAAACCAACACCAAAGCTGTGTCAAGGTGACTTTCTCAACGAGGTTTAGGGTCAAAGTCTCAGATCTTTGACTGACATCAGTATTAGGAAAATGTGACAGTACTACCCCATTAAAATTACTGGGTGTTGGCAAGCACAGGGTCACTTTGCCAGCAGGAGACTCAGGAGTGTGCCACTTTATTAAAGGAGGGGCCCTCTTCTGTGTGCAAACAGGACAGCCTGAATTCTTACTGCTCTCCCCTTTTCATCTGTCTCTGTGCTGCACATTGCCTGCAAGCCCTCCTGAGGGTAGGGATGTCCTCTACAGCATCTAACAGTCCTGATATACAGTAGGCACTCAATAAACAATTGAGTGGAGCTGCTATTTGCTGATGGTAATTTTGGGGTTGCTCTTTATGATCCTTGAGCCCTAATTTCATCATCTATCAAACTGGGGTAATGCTTCTATTATGTTCTCAGTGTCACCGTTGAGGACTGAGAGAAAATGGGACCTGGTACAGAGTAAGGGGCTCACTGGCTGTTGGAGGCCCTCCCTCCTGATGCACACAAGCTGTCTCACCCTAATATGGAGGGTGCAAACCCAGGGAACCCAGGAATGAGTTTTCAGTGTAGGATGGCAAAGCCATGTGCTTGGTCACCACCTTGTGAGGAGAACCTCCCTTGAGGTCCTGCCTGTCTCTAGGAGGTTGGCCAGGATGGGGAAGTAAATGACCCTGGAGTGAGGCCCGCCCCTGTGCCCCAGCCCTGCCCTTTGCATTCATAAAGAAGTCCAGGCAGCTCAGCCTGACTGCCTGGGGTGATGTTCCTTCTGTTCTTCCTAATTCAGAGATAATCAGATTCTGTCTGTACTCTGAGCTCTCTGGGGATGAATCTAATAAGGGAGGCAGTGACCTGCAGAGGAGGACGCAGGACAAGCGACCAGAGGACAGCCTTTCCTCCTTTAGTCCATTTTTCCTGTTAGAGTTGGGGTAAAGTGTTAGGAGGGACCTCAGGAGTCACAAAGAAGAGTAAGGCGCCTCCTTACCTCCAAGGACAGAGCACTTCAGCAGAGAAGCACCACGAGACTGACCTAGTACAGAACCAGAAAGGGTAAGGAAGCTCTGGGGAACCTTGGGAGACAAAGAGAAGGGGCCAGTGCTGGGCACGGGGAACAAAGTGGGAGTGAGATGACCATTGAAAGGTCTGGAGAGAATCTGGGGCCTGTGCAGGGAGCTGGGAGCAGCTGGCCCAGAGGAGGGAGGAAGGATGGCAGGTTATGTTGGGAGTCGGGAGCCCCGAGGGTCTCCTCCATGTGACCTGGTAGGAACAGTAAGGCTGTAGAGGTGGAAACTGAGTTAGGATCATGATACAGCAGGCAGGGGACAGGACTTAGGGAAGTGGGTCTGTCCTTGGTGTGTCAGGCAGATTGAAGAGAAAAGCCGTAGACCCTGACTTAATGTGGCAGCAAGATGGCTGGGAGGGAAGTGATGGCAGAGACCTGGCGGAGCCCCTGGGCTGCATGGCCAGGGTAGGGGCCAAGGTGCATGGGTCAGACCAGAAGGGGCAGCCCCATGGCTAATGGGGTCATGAGGGGATGAGACTACAATGGGACAGGAGTTTGGTCTTGGATGAGTTTGAAGTGTTGGTAAATGTCCAGGTACAGATTTCTAGTGGACCATTAGAAGTGGGGTTTGAATGTGGAGGACAAAACTGGCATTAGATTTTGGACTCACCTGTATAGTGACGGACAGGATCAATGGCAAGAATTCCAGAAATAGGATTCATCGTTGGCCAGGGCTTTGGAAACAGTGTTCCTGCACACTGTGAGAGGGTGAATCAGGGCTGTTTCTGGGAGATGATTTTACAGAGTGTATCAAAAACCTGAGAAGGAACCTGGCCCTGTCTCACACAAGCGTGCAGAGATGATCACCTGGTGGTGTTTATCTGGAGAAAAACTGAAAGCCAGTCCCCATCGAACAGCTGGGGGCCGAGGTTGGCTAGGAGAATAGTTAGTGTGAAGTTAGTGAAATGAGGTAGATGGATATTGACGGGCATGAGAAGTACGTATGATATGCCATTATGTTAAAATCACACCGAAGGAAATGGTAAGATCCCATTTCTATTTTTAAAAATGTATCATATGAGAATGGTGGTGTACCCAGAGACTTGGGAGGTTGAGACAGGAGGATCACAAGTTTGAGGCCAGCTTCACCAACTTAGTGAGAGCCTGTCTCAAAATAAAACATATAAAGGGCTGGGGTGTAGCTCACTGGTAGAGTACTCCTGGGGTCAATCCCCAGCACTGAAAAAAAAAAAAAAAGTAAGGATAGAAATCAAACATTGATGATGTGATTTCTTTTTTCCACTCATCCGTATTTTGCCTCAGTGAGTCACATTATTAGCCCCCTCCTTTTTTTTTCAAATCAGTGTGGTTGCCATCGGCTATCAGGCCTGGCAGGGCACCGGCGAGTGGAGGTGAAGCCGGAGTCCCAGGGGAGACTGCAGACTCCTTCCTGAGCTCTGCAGGATGGGGGCTAGACCCTGTGCTAGTGCCAGAGGGACTGCCAGCCACCTTCTGTCACTGCTGTCACCCACTGCTACTGGGAGAGAGAGATGGGTGGTGGGGGAGGTGAGAGGGTGACAGTCTAGGGGAGGGTGCAATAGGCTGGTGCCCTCATGTCAGCTCATGGTGGCAGTGGCAATGTCCAGGCATGGCAGGACCTTCCTGTGGGGCCCATGTGCTGCCGGCACTGAGGTAAAAAAAGAGGAGGCCAGGGCCAGGCTGGTTCCCCTCCTGCCTGCCACCGCCAGAGCATGCCCATTCCCTTGGGGATGGGAGAGGCACAGTGCAGGGAGGAGAGCTGGGCCCAGGGCTGCCGTGCACACATGGACCTGGTCTCCTGAGCCAGGCTATCCCAGAGCCTGCAGGTCCACTGAGTCCAGGAAGACACGAGGGCTGCCTTTCTGGTGCCCTCAGTTTTGGAGACCTCACCCGAGGGAGGAAAGCGCCCTGCTCCCACCTGGCTCGGGGTAGGGCCCAAAGGGAAGGAGGCTGCTCTGCTGCCCCCGGCTGCTGCAGGCTGGCACAGCAGGGCCAGGGCAGCTATTCTACAGGACGAGGAGCCTGCTGTGGGGTGTGGGGCTGGCTGTCAGGATGGTGGGCTAGAGAAGACTCCTCATCTCCAGCTAGGAGCTTCGAAACCTGGTAGGGGGTGGGAGGAGCCCATTTTTCACCCCAGAAGTATTTTTACATTCGTTTGGAGAAAGAAGGTTCAGCTAACCTGAACCTTCAAGGGATTTGCTCACTTCTCTGTAATTGGTCTGTAAACCCTACCTGAGAATACTGGGGACCTCATGAGAAGAAATACAGCTCTCACCTGAGGCCTGTGCTCCCACAAGAACTTGGGGTGTCTTCCTTGGCACCTTCTTTACACATGGAACCCAAGTCAGGTCTGTCTCCTGGAAGGCTGGGCCTCCTGCTGGGCTGCTCCTGGGACTTAGGGATCCTGCTCCAGGATGGTAGCAGGAAGGGATCTTGGAGGTGGGAGAGTGAGTGAGCTCTGTTTGAGGACAGGGGAGACAGGTGAGGTGGCGTGGGGAGGTGGGATGCCACTTCTGGAGGTTGTGGGTAACTCCTCTGAGCTCTGTGTCTTTCTTGCAGTGGCTGCCTCAGCATGGAGAGTGGCCTTGGCCCTGTGTCCACCCCTGGTGCGCTACCCTACTATGTGGCCTTCTCCCAGCTGCTGGGTCTGACTGTGGTGGCCATGACTGGTGCTTGGCTGGGTCTGTACCGAGGTGGCATTGCCTGGGAGGGGACCCTGCAGTTTAACGTGCACCCGCTCTGCATGGTCATAGGCATGATCTTCCTGCAGGGAGATGGTAAGTCCTGTGGGGAGCTGCTCCTTTGTGCCTGGGCTTGGGGCTGTCATAGGGAAAGGGATCCTGTCACCCCTGAGGTCTCTTCCAGCTAGACAAATCAAAGATTCTAGAAAAGATGGAGCGGGAGCTGGGTTAGAGCCGGGTTAGAGCCTGGGGAGACAGTTCAATCTGGCCCCGAGGCTGGTGGGTGGCAGTCGCTCTCCAGCTGTCCTAGCACTTTTTGCCCTTCGCTTCATCTCCCGGGGGTGGGGTGTTTTCTAGAGCAGAGAGCCAGGTCCTGGGCTGGGAGCTGGGCCATCTTCATCAGTGACTGGGAATCGGGAAAAGAAATATTAGGATTGTGCATGTGTGTTGCTGCACTTGGACTTGGCCCGGCTAGAGCTCCTCCATCTGGGGTGGGAGCAAGGTGGTGCATGGCCTGCGCTCTTCCTAGAGGCAGTCCTGGTGACAGTCACTCCTCAGCAGCATGTCCCCAGAGGTATTCCCCATGAGACCTGAGCCTACCTGCTGGATGCAGTGGGGATTCGGTTTGGGAATGAGGAAACTTCATATTAAAAATAGTGACAGGTCATGGGGCTGGGGTTGTGCCTCAGTGGTAGAGCGCTCGCCTAGCACATGTGAGACCCTGGGTTTGATCCTCAGCACCACATAAAAATAAATAAAATAAAGGCATTGTGTCCAACTACAACTATAAATAAATAAATAAATAAATAAATAGTGACAGGTCAGGCTTCAGTATTGGACTCTGAGGAGTGATATTTCTAAAAGGTCAGTTCAGAAGCTGGTTGCCACTGTTTGATGAACCCAAAGCACCTGAATGAATGAGTTCACAGGACATCTGCAGGCAGGATGTGGATGGGTGTCCACTGGGCCTGTACTTGCTCCGGATGAGGGCTGAGGGCCCAGTCCTACCTTTGTTGCCCTTTGTGGCAAGAGCTGTGGCACAGCCTCCCAGCATGCTTGAGTGTGCTCAGGTGTGTGTGTGAGGGGTGGACCTGGCTGGAGAGGGCAGTGCCATCTGCAAAGGTCAGGAGCTCCCACGGTCCCATGGAGTCCTGTTTTCTCCTGTAGTTCCTGTTGGGGGCCAAACTTGACAAGCTGTAACTCAGCTCATGCTCCGGCCACGTGGCCCTTCATGCTGTTTGTCCAGCGCAGGCCACACACTTAGTTTTCCCTTCCTACTTCCCACAGCCCTGCTGGTCTACCGTGTCTTCAGGAAAGAGGCCAAACGCACCACCAAGGTCCTGCACGGGCTACTGCATGTCTTTGCGTTCATCATCGCCCTGGTTGGTGAGTCCTGGTGCGCCTTCCTCTCCTCACCCACTGCTTCAGCTGGGAGGCAGCTGCTGGGTACACATCATTCCTTGCTCCAGAACCCTATGGCCCTGCCCCTGGTCCTCTCCCCAGTACCGTCCCTGGCAGGGACACTCCGTATTGGGCTGGACCAAAGCCCAGAAATTCTGGCTAGCCAGTGTCCCTCAGGTCATCCCACCCACTCTCTTTTCCACATCCCACCCTGACCTCACACGGCCCCTATCTCTGGTCCAGGCCTGGTGGCGGTGTTCGATTACCATAAGAAGAAGAGCTATGCTGATCTGTACAGCCTGCACAGCTGGTGCGGGATCCTCGTCTTTGTTCTTTACTTTGTGCAGGTGAGTCCCTCCAGCACCATCTCCAGGTCCAGCGGCAAGGGACAGGGAGGGGGAGGAGAGGCAGTGCTGAGTGTGCCCTGAGAGTTGCTTAGTTTGGTTGGACATCACCTTCAGATGCGGGAGGGGTGTGAACCTAGGACTGTATGGCCGGGGGCCCCAGGCCCAGCACCCTTCCCTGCTGACTTGGCACTGTATTTGGTCACAGGCCAGCTGAGTTCTCAGAATGACCAACTTTTGCTATGAGTCAAAGATTTCAATCATTGGGGGCAGGACCCTTTCCCTGTCCTTAACAGTCCTCAAGAGGGGAAGAAAGGGTCACCCTGGTGTCCTCCTGCTGGTCAGGTGTGTGGCCAGTGCATGGTCCAACACTGCCTTTCCTTTTCTACTAGTGGTTCGTGGGCTTCAGCTTCTTCCTGTTCCCTGGAGCTTCATTTTCCCTGCGGAGCCGCTACCGCCCTCAGCACATCTTCTTTGGTGCCACCATCTTCCTCCTTTCTGTAGGAACAGCCCTGCTGGGCCTGAAGGAAGCGCTGCTGTTTAAACTCGGGTGAGCATCCTAGGACAGGACAGGGCAGAGCCACAGCTGCCTACAAAGATGGAACCTCCCTCCCTCAACATTTGTTTTCTGAGTAGTTAGAGGGGCCTGGTGCTGGCAAACCTGTGGCATCTTTAAGGCCCAGGATGAGAATGGCTTTTGGCCTAACTGGGACCCCTTGGGTGGCTTCTCCCTTCTCTCCTTCCCTGTAGGAGCCAGTACAGCACATTTCAGCCTGAGGGGGTCCTGGCCAACGTGCTGGGCCTTCTGCTGGCCTGCTTCGGGGTGACTGTGCTCTACATCTTGGCCCAAGCTGACTGGAAGCGGCCTCCCCAGGCTGAAGAACAAGCCCTCTCCATGGACTTCAAGACACTGACCGAGGGAGACAGCCCCAGCTCCCAGTGATGGCCCGGCTCATCTTGTCTCATGCAGAGGCTGCTTGGGAGCGGCTCTCTCAATTTTGTGGAGTTCCCATAGGCGTCTTGTGGCTCACCCCTGCTGAGGCTGAGTCTTCAGGACCTGGGGGAGGACTCAGGCAGCATGGTGGGGAGTGTGGGTGTAGTGGTGTCTTTTAGGTGGCTTCTGGGGTTAGGGCTGTCCTCTTCTTTCCCTCCCTCACTGTGGCTGTGGCTATAGATGTCCTGTGCAGGTATTGTGCCCTGTTCCCCTTCACATGCAGAAAGCTTTGGTGGGGGCCTGGGGCTCAGTCCTGGATGCAGAATCAGAGCTCCCCACAGGAGCTGGACAGGCTCCACCCTCCGGCAGCAGATGGCTAGGGTGAGGCCAGGGGAACTGCAGGGCCTCAGGGATAGTTCTGGAAAGCTAAGACTGCTGTTTGTATAACTGAATCCTCACCAGGAGTCCCTCCAGCCTGAGCAGCATGTTGGAGAAGTGGCCCAGTCCTTGGCAGTGGAGCAAGTGATATTATGTACAAAGTATGCCTCTAATCAGAGGAAGGCTTCCCAGGAGAGGGGAGGGACCAGCTCCAGGCAAGCACTGCCATTTGGCTTTGACCCCACTGCAGTCTTAAGCCTTCCTGCTCTTTAACCCACGATTCCCAGGACAGCTTTGAGGGAGAGGAGACAGGAACATGTGACTTCAGACACACTTGCCCTGGTGATGGGGCAGCCTGCATGGGAAGCAGGAGAGGCCTCCTGTCCTCTGGCTCCCCCGCAGAGCTCCCCTCACAGTGGGCAGCTTGGGAACTGAGAGGCAGAGGGCAGTTTTTTGGAACAAAGAGCTGCTGCTTGTGGCATGCTTCTGGCTTGAGCTGCCTGTTCTGTTTTGGAGGATGAGCCCCGTTTTCCCTCACCTGGGCCCATCTTTTCAGGAATTTGGAACTGGGACAGAATGAGAAGAATCCTCTGTGGTGTCTGGACTTTGTTCCCATCCCATAATGTGTGTTATGATGTTGTTAGCTGAGTCACTGTTTGGCTTTGCTCTAGAAATAATATGTTTAGAGCCTCTGTCTGATGCTTCTTGGACTTGGGAAGGCCCCTCCTTGTTTTCTGGGCTCTACGCAACCTGTCAGTTTGAGACAGACACAGTTTACTTAAGTGAGAAAATTAATAAAATTTCTAAACTGACTACATTTAACAGTTACCCTTTTCACACCTAAATGCTGCCTTAGAGAAAATGGGCTGGCCTTATCTATTCCTCAGATTTTTTTTCTTTTTGTACCAGGGATTGAACCCAGGGGCGCTAACCACTGAGCCACATGGTAGCCCTTTTTATTTTGAAACAGAGTCCTGCTAACTTGCTTAAGGCCTTGCTAAATTGCTGAGGCTTTGAACCTGTAATCCTGCCTCAGCCTCCTAAGCTGCTAGGTTATAAGCATGTGCCACCTCACCCAGCTACTGTTCAGATTTCTAATAATTGTTTTTTGCCAATTATTGGGTCCTACTTTTGGTGATGTCACTTCTCAGAGCAGGAACGTGTGATCCAGCCCCCTCCCCAGACCTCTTTCCCCATTTCCTTTCCACTTGCCCTGATAATAATCAGTTGTATACTCTGCAAGGACAAAGATCTTATCAATACTTTAATCAGCTGCCATACATTTGTGTAGTCTATGTTTACATGTGTGAAACTCGTCCTTAGACAAACTACCAAAATATAATTGTGTATCTCTCTTTCCAGAAGCTACATAGAGAACTGGAACCTTAGATCTGGAATGAGAATCTGTAAACTGGTCTATTTGCCAAAGTGTATATTGGATGACTAAGGACCAAAGAAGGCCCCCAGCCGACGTGTGGTTTCTTTTGTTTGTATGTGGCCAGACTCTCTTGACGTACCACGTGCTGTTGGTGTAACAGATGATTCAATAAATGTCTACAGCAGTCCACTTGCCTGTTATCTTCATTTGCCGTGACAATAGTGAAAAAGGCCAGAGCTTTTAGCAGTCAGATATGTAAAGTTAGTTCTACTCGAGTTGAGGGAAATCGTCCCCAGGCTGGGCACAGAACAGGACTGAAATGGCCCTGCGAGGTCCAGTCTGGCCCCAGTGGAGGGGAATTTTCCATGTGTTGGATAAACTTTTCTCTCAGCCAGAGCAAATGGCCTGGAGGGCGGAGCTCCATGAGCCTGATAAGGTCCTAAAGCAAGAAGTGTCCCCTAGCACAGTATTTAATTGACTTCTTTTTCTTCCATCTTTCCTTTGTGCTGGGGATTCAAGCCACATCTTGGAGACTGCTAGGCTTTATCACTGAGCCACAACCCCAGCCTGACCTTTTTCCTTTTTAATGTGTCTTTTTGATCCTTAAGAAGAGCAAAGCTATTTATCACAAACTGAGATTCCATTTTATGGCAACTTTTGTCTCTCAGGCAGGAGTATGTTTATGGCAAATTGGGGTGGTTCACTGTGTACATTATGCACTATGTACCTGGTCATTTAAGTAACTGAAAAACTCTTTCAGGAACTCATAATTTAAAGAGACCCTCAGAAAATCCTCTAATAAGTCATATGAACACCTGCTTCCTAAAATTTGTTGAACTTTATTCTGTGCTGCAGCTGGTTCTAATGTGTAGAAGCCAGAGCCCAGAGGTCTTTCTGAGGGCATCTCATCTTCCTCCTGAATCAAGGCTTCCTTGTGGACCTTCATTTGCTCAGAAGCATTCAAGGCACATGGCTTGGGACAGGCTGGTTGCTCAGTCAAGCACAGGGCTATGTGACGGTTATGTGCTGTCTCATTTCTGGCTTTCTGGGATATCCTCTGATTGCTAAGTCTCCTTGTGTTTGTGGATATTCAAATGATCGCAGTCACTGGAGGACACTGCCTTCCAGCCCAGAGGACTATTCCTTCATCTCTGCAAATCTCAAGTTACATGACCCAGGACCTCACCTTTTCTCTGGGTTTGGAGCCCTGAGAATCCCCAAATGACCTTGACCTTGGCACAGTTATTTCTCCAAAGGAGCATATAGCAGCATTTGGCAAGATCTCCTTGACCCAGTGCCTATGCTCCTTTTGGTGTCATGAAGATTGCTTGCTTTTCTGAGATTACTCCTTATGAAGTGGGACAGCTCTGATTTAGAGTCCCATCTTTGTCATGGTGGTCCCTGGGTAACTTACTCTCAGGATCTGCTTTGGCTCTTGTGTTTTGCATAAAGTAGGGCCATCTGCCAGAGATTCATGTGAGGAATACGTTAGAGAACATGTGTAAAGTCCAGGCCACTGTGTCTGGGCATGAAGGGCATCTCAAGAGAATGGCTTATGAGGAAGGCCTGTGAGCAAGTTCTTTTCTGTGAGGGAGAGAAAGAGGGAAGAGGAACTTCCCTCTGATTCCCAGGCCCTCTAGACATGACAGCCTTATTCTCAGTGGCCTGCCTTATTCCTGGGAATGGAATGACTCAAGTCACTGAGGTCCTCCAGCCTTTCTCTTCTTTTTTTTTTCCACACCTCCGGTACTGGGGACTGGACCCAGGGGCACTCTACTACTGAGCTACACCCTCAGTTCTTCCTATTTTTTTTTTTTTTATTTTGAGACAGGGTCATACCTAAGTTGCTGAGGCAATATTATAACTTGGAATCCTCCTGCTTCAGCCTCCTGAGTTGCTGGGATTACAGGTGTGTGCCACCACACTTGGATCCTCCAATCTGGATTTTAGGGTTGAAAGAAGACAACACCCTGTTCCTGTTCTGGCCCTCATATTGGTTTCATCCATCCTTCTGCAGCCAGGAGCATGGTCCAACTCCCACGTGCAGATGTGCACAGTGGAGTGCCTACCTCCAGAGTTACTAAAAGGCACCTATGAGGGAATAAAATAATGAGGAACTTCTGAAAATCTACAAAGACTTTTGCTGAGTTCACTGTTTGCTTCTACTCTGAGTGGCTGAGTATTTTTTAAACTAATCATTACTCTCTTCCTTTCTTTCAATGCCCCATTAATTCTTTAAAAGCTGGGTTTTTGCCAATCACTTAACCATTTTAGATTTTTAAAAAATAACTGAGTTTTCAGGCTGAGCAGGTGGTTCTTCCCAGAGTCATTTCTTCTCTTCGATTCTGGTGTCCAGGCTGGGATGGCCGTGCACAGCCTGAAATTCTCCTGCTTCCCCAGGCTTTGGTTGTTTGGGAACTAGATGTAGTTTCCCAGCAGGAATGTTTGTTTAGCATGAGCTGATGTTTAGAAGAAGTGGTCTCTTTCTTTGCTCGTCCTTGAAGTAGATAAAGAGGTTGTGGTCAGGCAGGAAAGGCTGCAGGGCCACTTTTATTATTATTATTATTTTAAAGCTATGAAGCCAGGTTTAAGAAACCTGCAACTTCTCCATTCACAAGGCAGTGGCCTAGCTCTTTATGTGGTGAGGATTGGAAGTCCTGTCAGATTTCTGAAGGAAAAACAAAACCACTGGAAGCCATGACCTCTAGCTTTGACTAAGTTAGCCTTTGGCTCTACGGTGCAGGATGCCCCTCCATCCTTGGGCCTGCTGTCTTTAAACCTGACAGCAGGGCTGGCAACCCACTGCGGTCTTACAATTTGGGAAGGTGGCTGGGAGCAGTTTCAACCATGAAAAATGCAAGAGGGTAAGGGTGCAGTGCTCCCTCGGCACAGCTTCTGCTGAAGAGAACCCCTCTTGCTATGAAGCAAGTAAGCCTTTGCTGAGCAGGCCCAGGTACCGATTTTTAGTGCCCACAGCTCCCTTGAGTGCCCGTCAGTGTCCAACTCTAAGGAGTGCTAACTAGACAGGTGAATAGATGCAGGAAGGGGCGACTCATCCCACAACAGACAAGCAATCACCAGGGATCTGGCCTTAGCCTTAACCTGCCAAATTCTTCCTTGGGGGTGGCTTCCTCAGCACTGCAGTGGCAGCAAAGGTGAGCTTAGGAGTCAACTCCCTGGAGAGAGCATCATGGAAGGAGAAAAGCACAACACCAAGTTTTTCCAAGTGTTAACCATTTATAAATAAGTACATTTGCTTTCATACATACAGCTCATTGTACAGATGACGCTCTGTATACATGGGGCAGGAAAATGCATTCATTTGAACTTTTCACATCTATCTCACACAGCTCACATGTACAGACAATAAAACTGCTCAAGCAAGTACAGCAAAGGAAAGTGTCTTCCTTAATTACGGGGCTAGAGGCCTCGTCTGGGTGTGGGGCATCCCCACTGCACGAGTTCACGACTGTGTGGTGTTCAATATATCAGGATAGAGAACAAACATGCATTGGATAATATACTGTACAGAGAAAGTCCTTTACATCTGAGTTATAGAAAACCTAAAGGAAAACTAAGTGCATTAAAGCTTTTTCCAGCAAGTGTCTTGAAAGGACAGCAAAGAGGAAGAATCAAAATCATATTAGTACAAATCACTCTTTAATTGTAGACTGTACATGTCTGTACTAATTAAAATCATCTTGGATTTGGAGGAGACAGAACAGAGACACAGATGCTGTGCTAGATGGAAAGGAGGCCATGCCTGAGAATGGCACCTGCCCTGAGCCTGACAAGGAACTGGCCCCACTCAGCAGGAATCAGCCAAAGGTAAATAACAACAAAAACCCAGAACAGGAAGTGTGACTTACAGGATTTCCAAAATAATCTGTGAATGGAGTGGAGATCTGGAGCCGGCATCTCTCTCTCTCTTTTCTTACCCCAGTAAATTGGTACACAGTAAGGCAGGTACATTCAAGTACTGAATTTTGCAGAATTTACTCTGGTCCTGAGGACTGACGAAGTGAGTTGAGTCCTCCTTGCCAAATTTCCTGGTTAATGGTTAGCAAAGAAAAATTCAGCCAGTAGGTGCTACAACAACTAAGCAGCTAGGCCACTTCCTGTCCACAGAGTAGGTCTATCTTAAAAAATGAGAGCGATGCTGGCCTGCATCCATATGCACCCAGCCACAGCCTGACTGGTCAGCTTAGTGTAGGCATCACAGAGTCAGCAGGAGGAAATGAGATGACGGGGTGAGGAAACATGAAAGTAACACTTGATTTTTGGTGTCCAATTATGCATTCATTTGGTACTGACTTTCAAAGCTCTGACTGTGGCAATCATGTGGCCACAAGCATCTCAGGGTGGCTCAGCTGCTGTGAGGCATTGGACACCGAAATGAAGGTTACCAACACTTCAGCCCTTGAGTGGTCTGTATTATAAAAGGAGTTGATGAAGACCCAGTGATAATTCAAGTAGCTCCGCACAGTGGCTCCACCAGCCCCATTGTGCTTGTGTCCAGGCTCCCAGCCAGCCACCTTTTCTTGGGAGCAGCCAGAGCTGAGTTCAAGGCATTGCATGGTGAAGGTTTCCATGACACGTCTTTGTAGGTAGCTCTTACCCCTAAGCCCTTTTGTTCATTGTTGTTAGTTATGGTATATGGTTGGTCTGGAATTCCTAGAGAAAAGCAGCCTCACCTCTCAGCAAGCATGCAGCAGGGTGGCAGCCCTCTTCGTGGAGGCTGCAGCAGGCTGCCTTTGCAGGTCTGCTTCTTGAGAAGTGGGCAGCCTGAGGACACACAGGTGGGGTGGGCGAGGCTGCTGAGCACTGGGAGCCTCAGTGGGAGATGGGGCACAGGGGTGGGCACATCCTGCCCCTGGGGGGAGCATGTTGTTTTGTGGCAAAGATTCAATGAGCAACTGGTTTTGTCCAAGGCATTTCTGCAGTAGAAAAATAACTATCTTTGAATTAAACCACCCAACTATAACACTTCTGGAGTTACAAAAGTTGGTGGCTGAGAGGAACTGAGAGGAGGGATGTTCAGGGGGAAGAAAAAGGTCCTCTGCATACCCATCCATCCACCAGAGCAAGGGAGCTCCGGCCTTCTCCCAGCCTCTGCCTGGCTGAAGGTCCAAAGCAGATAGTGCTGTCTGTCTTGCTATAACTGGCATGAATGCATGAAGACCCCTTCCAGGTCTGTGTTCCCTTCTTCCTGAACCTCTGAATCTATGGGCCTGCCTGCTGCCCTGGAAGCGGCTCCTCAGGAGGGGATGCTGCCATTTTTTTTTTTTTTTTTTTTTTTTTACCAGACAAATGTGGTGCAGAGCCACAGCGACACCTAGTGGTAAAGCATGGTGAAGCACAAGTGACATCCACATATCCACTGTATGTGACTAAATCTCAAGGAAAAATACTTATGGATATTAAATTAGACACTAATTAATTTTTAATTTTTCTATTGGGTACATCTCTGGAATATAAAAATACCAATATTTAGAGGGGTTCATAAACTACTATACAATATAAGGACTGAGAACACCTTTCTCTAAGCTGTTCTGTTTATAATAATTTAGTAAAAGTGTTTAATAATCCAGGCTTAACCAAAATTGGCAAACTTGTATATCTGGACATTGACTATACACGATTCTAATTAGTGGAGTTTTCCTGAGCCATCAAGTTTAAGCTAAACACATCTAAAAAGAGGGTGCAGAGGAGAGGAACAAGAAGGGTTTGTGCTCTATTAACTTGGGACTTTAATAGTGCACATCTGCAACCCAGACAGATACAACAGCAGATACAAAATGGTCTCCATTTTGTCCATGCCAAATTCTCATGTTACACAGGTTTTCCCTTTACTTTGTAAATAAACATTAATTTTTAATTGTTAACTGTGTGCCTTACTGATCCAGTAAATAAAGTAACCATGTCTCAGGAGTCCCTAAGAAAATTGCTGGAAAAGCACTTTAAAATCACTGCAAATATTTTTTGTATTTAAAAATTCTTAAATCTTTTTGATGCTTATATACAACAGTTATTTCTTGTGCTATAAATGTTGTGATCCACTGCTTGATTTCTTTCTTTTCCTTGTTTTTTTTTCTTGAAAAATACACTAAAAGACAAGAGCGATTCTGCTTATTTCTAATGAAGACACTACTCACAATTAAATATCCAGTATTTATCAGAGTTACAAATTCAAACAGTAAAGTGCACCCATTTATAGACAGGATGTGATGGAAACCCATTAGTGCAAGGATTCTAGGCAAATGGAACATATGATTTGGTGAGAAACCTATAAGCTGAAGTTGTCACCTCTGTCTCCATTTCAGGGAGTGATGTGAATTGGGTGAATGGAACTTACCAGGTTCCTTTGAAACATTTCCTCCCACCTGAAGCCAGACATTAATTCGGCAAATGTTTGTTGCTGTGGAAGGGGTATCTCTAAAATACAGTACTAAGATCATCCCATGGCAGTGAAGTAGCAAAACAGGGCACAGGCAGTCTGCTTCCAAGGAAATACCTTGTCTCTTGCCCCAATTAACTCCTGTTGGCATTTTCTGATCAAAAACAACTGGAGTCCAGAAGTGATATCTACACCCTTTTGCATGGCTAAAATAGAAATTGCATGTTGACTATTGACATTTTAGATTTCTTGCCTGATAGGGTGTAGACCCCGAATCTCTTTGTTTGTACTGGAAAACCTAGAGGAGACCCTGGGGAGAGGTGGCATCAATGGCATATCTGTAAAATCATGACTTGCTTCCCCACCTGGACAGACAAGTGCAGGTGGTATGTGTTGTTTAATAAGCAGGGACACTTTTCTAATAGACTAAGAAATTCTTCAAAACGTAGCAGCTCCCCACTAAGAGGTGGTTAAAATGGGATGAGATGCAAATAGACCAACAGGCCTGAGGCCTGGCCAAAAAGACACCTGAGGCTGCTAGGTTCCTAGCTACAGGCTGATACCACTTCATCTTCTTCTTTCCTTTTTTTGGGATGCTGGAAATCAAACCCAGGGACTCACGCATGCTAGGCAAATACTCTACCACTGAGCTACACCCTTAGCCCACACTTCATCTTCCTGATGTGGGATGGAGAGAGATCGATGGGTAGAGGCCACTGCTGCCCACCCAGGTCTAGTTGAGTAGCAGGCAGTCCTTACACACCAGGTGAAAAAGTGTCTGGGTCTTCAGTTGGCCCCATTGTTTGCTTCCGGCACACAGAGGTGAATCCTGGCCTGTTCAGGCTTGGGACTTGGGGCTCAGGGGTCCATCTATTTGGTAGGATCTTAGTCAGTAGAGATGTTTCTGATCTCAGCTTTATGCTCCCCATGTCTTAATGATCCTTTCTGAATACTTAACTACAAACAGGTCTGGTCACAGTTGGATTTTATTCAGGAAACTGCTCTTTCTGTAGCCCTTTACTAACAAGAGCAGAATGATTCCTAATAGCAGAGAACTAATGCTCTTTTGTTGAATTTCAGCAGGTTAGTTTGTCAGGTGGAGTTTCTTAATTGAGTGCAGCCAGTGCCAGGACTGTGCTAAGGCTTTGGTCACAGTGGTATTGCTGTCCATTTCATGGTGGCCTCCATCACTCAAAGGTCAGGTGAGCGAACAACCACAAGACCTAGAAGATGTGTAGAGAGTGACTAGAGCAGAAACCTGCCATCTGTGTTGTGCCCCAACTCAGGGCTAGAAGACAGGGCAAAAAGGGGTCGGTCTTCACCCTGAAACATTTTTTGCTGTGTATGATTTTTAAATATCACCCCCATAAACACTCCTAGAAAAAGAAAAAAAATTCCTCTAATAGTATAAAATGAAGCTACAGATCTCAAAATGGAATTAGATAACAACAGGCATGGAATGCAATGGCCCTGGGTAGAAATCCTGGCAATCAATGTAACAGTCCCAAGAGAATCCGATTAGCTTCTCAAAGAACCAAGTTCCTCATAACACCATCTGGGTTTGAACAAAGAGGGCCAACAGAACAAAATCTGGCTCTAGGTGAAGATACAGCTAAAAGGCTTATCGTACCAGCCAACCTTCAGGAAGCTCGTTTTTGCAGAATCAAATGCTCAGTGTTTCAGGATCTAAAATGTAGACTTTTTAAAAGATAGACTTTCTATAGCATTTCACCGAGAATTCAGAATAATCTTTCTTTTCTCGCCCTCTCTCTGTGTGTTTATTCCCTTCCCCACCCCTGGAAAATCAGATCAGTAGATTAAAATGCCTCTTAGAAAACCAACGTAGTGACATTTTAAATAATTATTTTGCGCACCCCTCCACCCCGACTTTTTTTTGGCAGTGCTGGGGATTGCACCCAGGGCCTTGTGCATGCTAGGCAAGTCTCCACCTCTGAGGTATATCCCCAGTCCCTTTCTTCCAGTTTAACAGACTTATTTCTTCTCTCTCTCTCTCCCTCCTTGATTCTTTTACCCCACAGGAAGACCAGTAATAATGCGAATGAACATTCTAGATCTGATGACTGCATGGAGCTGGCTGACAGTCTGGGGGAAGAGACCATGGCACACAAATGCACTGGGGCTGGCTATTTGGATAACACTGGATAAGAATGCAAAGGCAAAGGGGCATCACACTCTTTCTAAAATTCCTAGAAGAAAACGAACAAGAACATCTTACTTTTTAAAAAAGAAAACAAGACATTTATACAACAAGAACATCAGTGAAAGCGATTGTCTCCTGGAAAAAGCTGACCAGTATGTCTGATCTCCCTGGGTTAAAGCACACGGCACAAAAATCTCCTCGTTGGCATCTGAAGAGAGGGAGAGAGCATGTGGCTGGGGCACAGACCAGAGAAACTAAAGTTCTGGCTCACCAGAGGCCAGCTTCCCAGTCGGCTGCATGCAAAGAATTTCAGCATGTGGGCTGCCACCTCTGAACACCACACAGAAACTACATGAGAAATTAAGCCAGAGAACTACCTCAAATGTGGAAACCAAGCCTGAAAATGTGCAGTGAAAACATATGGGTCTCACTCCAACAAATGTCTTTTAAACATTAGACTCCACAAATGGTCTCTTTGGTTTGATAGGGGATGTCTGCCCTTGTCGAGAGTCCCGGGACAACTGCCTGTACAGGTTGTCCTGGTATGCCTGAGCCACAGGTAGGGTCCGAGCCACCTTCACATCAGGATAAGAGGAGGCCTGGCTGACTCTCTCCAACAGGTCTCCACGAGACCCATTAGCCAGCATCCCATGGGGGCTATAATAATCGTCCTCCAGCAAATGGCCATTCTGTGCATTGTTGGTTTTGTTATAAAAGGCAATGTTGCTGATGGATGAAGGTGGACTGAAAGACTCAGGCTGAGGCAGGCTGCCTGGAGACGTGGGACTAAGAACAGTATCCACTGACGACACTGCCCAGGTCCGATTCTGCTGGTGAAGGTGGGGGTACTGTTGAGTCCGGGCTGTTTTATCTATGATCCCCATGAATGGTGTGGTCCTGGATCGAGTGGGCTCACTGGGATAACCTCCCTGAGTGGGAGACACTGGTGACAGCTCATCACATGACCTATCATATGCCGGTTTCAGTGGGATTTCCATTTGCTGAATTGAGGAAGAAGGCCGGAAGGTAGGAGTTAGGTTGGAGGTGGATGAGATGCTATTGCTAGATGGAGAGAAGCGAAGGCCCACGCTCTGGGAGTGCAGCAGCGGCCTGGGAGTTGGTGGATGGGGTTTGATTTCATTAGGGTTGACACTGATAGGTCTTCTGATTAAATGTGACACATCAGGGGAACCTAATTGGCTGGAAGAACGCTCCAGATCTAGTTTTGAGTGACAGACTGGGTAATAGGATGCTGACTGGCTACGCCCAATCTGGGGTGTCTGGCTGTATCTCATACCACCACGATATGCTGAGGAAGGTCGCTGTGGAAGATCTTCTTTGGTCAACCCTCCATGCTGACAGATGGCACCTGCACTCAGGCTGGCTTGGACATGCTGCACAGGCCTCCCATCTCCTACAATCCCCCCAATTGACCCTTGATAAACCAGTCGGCTCTGACTGACTCCTATGTCTCCTTGTGAAGACTGGTATTTACTGGCCATTGAATGGGTGACTTGGCCATAGGCTCCTGTGGGGATGACAGTGCTTGAATGAACTGCTGAGCTGGGCTGGTTACTTCTCACAATCTGGGCCTTGGCAGGCTGGAGCCTGAGCCCTTGCTGGGGAACTGCCACAGGAAGCTGAGGCATCTGGTAAGGACGCTGGGCCATCTTGGATAATGGAGATTTTGGTCTGCCAGGAAGCTGAGTAACATTTGTTTCCTGCTGATAGCGCACGGGTGAACCAGATTGGGATCTATAGACACTCATGCTTTCAGCTGGAGGGCTGGCCCTATACTGAGGGCCTCGGCGGAGTGGGGAAGGGGGAGGGCTTGGGTATTCTTTGCCCTGCCCTCCCACAGGAGGGGGGCTAAACCGATAAGATCCACCCTGATGAGCTGGGGAAGTATGTGGTGGACTAGGCCTGTAATGAGAATTCTGGTGAGTTGGAGAAAGAGCAGGTGAGGTGGACTGATATCCCTGTCTAGTGGGAGAACCTACAGAACTATTGGACCGGAAGTCAAAAACCTGGTGAGAGCCAAGAGGTGAGCTAGAGATGTAGGCTGAATCCCGATGGGCTGGAGAGGAGGGTGGGCTCTGGATTATCGGGAGCCCCTGGCTGGGCCGAGCCTCTGTCTGGAGGCCGATGGAAACATTTTCTACATCCTGTTCCAGGTACTCCTCCTCGAATATATCTTGTACAGAGTATACATCTTCATTCTGTGGTTCAGGTTCTGTTTCTTCTGGTAGCTGTTGCTGAGGTTGCTGTGGAGGCGGCTGCTGCTGCTGCTGCATCTGTCTACACTCCTCTTCCACTCTCATCAGAAGTCTCTGGATCTCTCGGTTGTTTGGACACAGCTTGATGGCTTCGTTCAGGTCCTCTAAGGCTGCTGCAAACTGTCTGCTTGACAAAACGCAAACATAAGGATGGGAGTTATTCTGAATCAACAGGAATCACCAAGAGCTGAAAATATGGTTACTATTTTGGAAAACTCTGGTGGCATCTGTAGAAGTCTGGGGTGATTTGGTTTAGTTCGATTTTTTTTTTTTTTTTTTTTTGTGGTACTTGGGATTTTAACAGGCACGCTTACCACTGAGCTCTATCCCCAGCCTGTTTTTAAAATTTTATTGATTTATTTATTGTACTGGGGATTGGACTCAGGGACACTTGACCACTGAGCCACATCTCCAGCCCTACTTTGTATTTTATTTAGAGATAGAGTCTCACTGAGTTGCTTAGCACTTTGCTTTTGCTGAAGTTGGCTTTGAATTCGCAATCCTCCTGCCTCAGCTTCCCAAGCTGCTAGGATTATAGGTGTGCACCACCACACCTGGTTAAATTTTATTTTGAGACAAGGTCTCACTAAGTTGCCCAGGCTGGCCTTGAACTTGTGATCCTACTATCTCAATTTCCTCATTGCACCACCATGTCTGGCTAGTTTGATTTGTAAGGAAGGAAACAAGTAGGCTGTCATTCAAAAAGAATCTGGAATGATTCCCTAGACCTTTCATCCTCAATCTCCCTTCTGGCCTCTCTGGGGTTAGTGGAGAAAAGATCCATGGTGTCAGTCCAGCCAGGCCCTTCAGAAAGATTCTCTTGGTGCCCAAATACACACTAGAAGTATGAGGGTTGGGTTGTCATTTACAGTGTCACTGTCAAGTAACTTAGGAACAAAACAGTAACTCTAATATTAAAATACCTTGCTGATCAAGCAGAAACTTTCTTTTATATTCTCAATATTTTGGCTTTAAATTTCAGGCCTGTTCCGCTCTAAGCAAGAACCCTGTCCTCTGCCCTTTCTACCCCTCATCCCACAGCACTGCTGTGTCTCATTCTGCTACATCAAAGCTGGCAGGGATTAAGCTTGCTGATAGGTAAATCAGGTTGGAGCTGAGCTTACCCCAAACAGATTCCAATTTACAATGAGAAAGTGAACTTTGAAGAGATATTCCCATCCCCTCTATTAACACTGCCTGGCAAAGCAGTGAGTAGCAGTGATTAGCCTTGTGAGAAAGGAATAAACCAAAGGGAAAAAAAAATTTAATAGTAAAGTTTCTGTGAAAACTTTGTTACACTAGCTAGTTAAGATGAGTATCACTGCCACCATCATCGCTTGACCCAGTTTGGGTTTGATTTTCATGGCCATATCATATCCGCCTGTTCATAGCAGTGAACCCAAAGCAATTCTTTCCCATGCAGAGTTTGAGAGATGGTGGGGAGCTGGGTAGGAGGCATCAAGGGCAGTGACAAGTTATTCAAAGGACAATGATGGCAGGTTCTAGGTCCTTCTGGAGGCTTTTGTACCTAGTGACCATCCAGTAGATGGGCATGAGGAACTGAGGACAATATTTCTCTCGGCCCTCCTGACTCTCTGTATGTGTGTGTATGTGTCAGTGGTGGTGCTTTAGGTGAGGAGAAAGGTTGATGCCCACCAGATTTGAGGAGAGCCTCAGAGGGAAGACAAATAAACCAGGGGTTTCGGAAATGTCTATGAAGAGAGGAGCCTGTGATGGTCAGTTAGTGATCCACTCTGCTTTTCCTTTAAAAGGGTCAGTGGAATGTTTTGATTAAGTGATTTCCTCTTTAAATCATTAGTGTCTCTTTATGCTCTCTGATTTGTGGTTGAAAAGTGACACATGGCAGAGGCTTCTTGGAGGAAAGGTGCCATTCACCATTTTACTTTTCTCCCAAAATCAGATTTTGGTCTCCATATCCCAGAAGATTTGCTGATCTTGAGCTGAGTGCTGCTACCAGAGCCATCCCCAAGCCTGGCCTAAGAGTCCTCAAGGACAGACATATTTGGGTACATATGCCCCAGGGTGGCCTACATTGCCTTGGCCAGCTTTTCAGAAAAGAGACCTCTTGCTTTTCACCCTTTCTCTCTCTCTCTTTCCTCACCTGCTGCTGCGTTTTGCCCTTGCTCTTGCATAGTAAGCTTCATAAGATTTCGGTTTCAGCTCCAGGGCCTTAGTAGCAAATTCCTCCGCCATTCCAAAATCCTGTCATTACAATAGGTGTGCAAGTGAGTCATTGAAGAGATATAAAAAATAGACAACTTGGGAATAAAACAAATTATATGTACATTTTTTTGACATTTCTAGATGGAATACCTGGGATTCTGGACATGCCTGCCATGGTTCTAGCCACTGGTCCACAGACTAAAATTTCCTTGTGCCTGCAAATGTTCACTGGACTTTATGGCCCAGAGTATTACAACACTTTTAATCTGGCCCTTTTCTGCTTTCTAGCCAAATTCTTTTTAGCCCAGAAGCCAAATGTCAACCCTTCACAGTGAAGCTCCTGAAGTTGGAAACTTAAATTCGTTACACATACTTATGAGGCAAACAGCAAGACATAACCACCTCAGGTGGCCCCTCATCTTACCCACACCATCCTGCTGTGCCCACTAGTCCTTGGTTTCCTAACACATGAGTGAGAATGTATCCTATGGAATCCAGGAGGAAGGGGTCTGAGTAAAGGCAAACTGTCCGGACTACGGAAATGGTATAGGGATGTCAGACAAACCTGGGCTCAGTTCTCTGGTCTGCATCATAATTCCTCAGAGAGTACTGTGTATTTTCTCACTGATACTTAACTTCACAGGTTGGATCAAGCATGATAAAGCATCCAAGTGCTATGTGTAGTTCCTAGCACATAGTAGGTGTCTAATAAATTGTACTTTCTATTTCACAGAGGCTTCTCTAAATTGTTCTTCCTCTTATCTGGTTCCTTGCTTAGGAAACATTTAAAATAAAAAAAATAAAACAAGAGAGGATGCTGGTTGTAACTGGGGTCTGGGCTACTCTGGAGGCTCCCTGGCGGAAATCTGCCTTTTTTGTGAGAACACCTGGGAACAGGGGGGACCAGGTGGGACAATGCTAACAGGCAGAAGCATTGTTTATAAGAGTCCATGGTTTTTAAGATCTCCTTAAATACTAAGCTAAAGGGGAAAGGCTTTTCTTCTTTAATGTCAAAGCCATAGTATAGCTCAGTAGCCTCTGGTTACATTCATGATTCTTAAGGGAGAAAACAAGGCTTTAGGCAGTACAAAGGCCCTGGGGCATAGGTAAAAAATGTTCTGAAAAATTAATGAGAAATTTTCTACTGAAGAAGATAGACTTCTGGTGCTTAGCACCAGTGTTGGCCCATGGGAGGTAATTATTAACTTTCTGAACAAGTATGGAGCTAGAGAAAGTATATGAACATATATGGGCCATGTTCTATCCCTACTCTGTTTTCTACGTCACTCTTTTATTTTTTCTTTTGGGATAATCATCACTTCTGGGAATATGTGAGTACTTTTAAGAATTTGATTATTTGCTAGGGAAAGAAAGAAAGGTTGGCAGCAAATTCTGAGCCTTGCCTCATTCTCACTAGCTGAGGACATAGAAAACCCATGGGGCTGCTGCTTCCATTTCCCAGGAGAAACCTCAAGCAGAGGAACCTTGCTGCCTTCACCCAAAGATGACTCTCCGACACTATCTTCCCTCAGCAGGAATCTAATCCATGTTCCTGCTTCTCTCAGCACCCTGGGACAACTCTGCCTTGAAGGTCATAACTGTGTCCTCTGTGACAGCCATGTCTGTTCTCAGGGCTCTTTTCATTGTCAGGTTTTAGGACTCGGATGGATGACATAAAGGTCACATAAATAAATCTTTCTGAAATTGATAGCAGATTCCTTGCCACTAAGGCTGAAATCTTGCTTCTGGTTACATTCCTGTTTGGCTTAGATTATTTCTATCTCCTGAGGAATAGTGAGACCTTAGGCTGGCGAATGTCAGCAATTCCTGATGTGATCTTGGTGATTCCGAGTATCTCAGAGAGTTATCTTGCCTCAGGAATGTCTGTATTCATGGAATCAGTGACTGAGGGTGTTTGAGACTGTATCTGTAAGGCAGGCAAGAAGGACCAAGGACGATTAGGGTGAGAAAGGGCCAGAAGAGTTCAGAGATTCCCTTCAGAGCAAGAAGGGACACAGTATGCTGGAATAAAAAGATGAGAAAAGAAGCAAAAAGTTCAAGAACAGCCTTAGAAATTAAACCTTTAAGTCTATGGTCCTGAGTTGTCTTCCCAGCCTTTCCTTAGATGACTGGGAAGTACACTAGAAAGGAAGGGAATGACTACAATTTGTACCGAACTGCAGCTGGAATTCTAATGACTATTGCCCTCACATTTTCCCAAAGACCAGAAAATAGATTAGGTGGATAGGGAAGAGGATGATGATATTCCAATCACTTTTAGTGGGAAATATGAAAATTCAGAATGTTACAAAGTGCCCACAGCACTTTCTCCACTTCTGGTTACAGATTGTTGGCTTTGTTTCTTTCAAATTGCAAATGTCAGTGTTCTGTGAAGGACAACCAAGCTCTGTGGCAGATAGGACTGCAGGGACCTAGTACAAGCTAGTGAGTGGCATGAACTTTCAACTTCTTGGACTGCAAAAAGGAGTTGGGGATGAGAGGGACTTACATTCATTTTCCTGCGACATCGAGAGAGGTTGAGGAGGAGAGACACCTTTAGTTCCCGGAAGGTTTTCAGGTCCTCACCAAACCCTTCTCTAGGGAATTTCTTCAGAGCATACTGGTAGCGCTGGGCAGCCTCCTTTACTTTACCTTTCTAATAGGGGTAGAAAAGCACATTGTTGGTCTGCTGAGCAGCTGAGGAAATTTGATCTCTGTATCCTTCCTGCTCCCAGAAGTTGACACTCCCATACACCCTGATGGTGGGAACAGAAGGATCTCAACTCTTCTACAGGAGACTCACTTGACAGGAAAGGAAAAGTAGTGGAGCCCCAAGTTACAAGACATGGAAACTAAGTCTTGGCAAATGAAAGGCCCTGGACTCCAGCTTACCAACAGGATTCCAAAGGGCTGACCTGGCTCATGTCAAAACTCATTTTTCTTGAACTGCTCTGCCTGGGACAAACCTAACTTCCTAGTCACAAACACTCCACGGTAATTGCTTCTCCTGTGGTTTCTGGCTTGTCTGGAGACTCTCTTTCCTATCTGATGTTCTACCTTGCTTCCCTCCAGAAGAGCATATTCTCTTCCTCACATAGAATGTGAGAGTCTAGCTGTTGTTTCCTCTAATCTTAGGGCAGAAATTAATGTCAATCAGTGGTGGAAAAGGCACGGGGAATGTGATAGGATGGAAGTGAAGCTTAGAATCTGTGATTCCATATGACTTTGTAGGAAAGATTATGACTGACCTAGGGATCTGGCCACAGGGGACTTGAACTTTTCTTACATTTTGTTTCTGAAAACTTGTAAGCTGATCCCAGGAAGAGATGCAGGAGGCCCCCACCTTTCTCTACTTTGTACAGCTGCAACTCCCCAGGGATCCTGATCTTTTATTTTCCCTTTAGCACCTTTTGCTAGGAAAGAAATGAAGTCTTCCAAGGTAGAATTCAGTGTAAGAACAATAATACCTCTGCCTATTTTCATTAGAAGTTAGGTCTCCATGCCCTTGGAAAACCAGAAATTATGCTATGACCAGGGCTTATATTCTCAACAGTGAAGCCCTTCTGAGATCATAACTAAGACACCTATAGTAATGAGAACCTTCTGTGAAGTTGTGTGAAATCAAGGTTGCATCAGGGATTAAGCTTCCTGAAAGACCTATATTATCATGAATCTCACTCAAAAGGTACTCAGGAAATAGAATTCTACTCTCAGGAACTCAACACTTTTAACGCGATGGAAGAATGATGTGATTACAATTGTTTCCTCATCTTTTAGGCCTGGGGATGCCTCAGGGATTCCTACTGCTAAAAACTGGGATTGGTTTGTATTCAACTTTACGAGAAGATGATCCAGCTAATTTAAACACCACAAGATGACTTTGGCATGGAATGTTCTAAAGGAACTTCCTATGGGCCATGTTTATGTTAGGGGACAGACTTCAACTCAAATTGTGAGTACAGAGAAATTTCATATTTTTGGTTGTCATTCAGTGACAATGAACAAATCTTCTAACTGTTATTTGTCTTGGTTTTCTTATTTTATTCAAGGATGCTGCTGATGGGCTATCTATTACAGACTTTTAAATCTATGTATATATTAAACATGAAAGCTAAGAACAGTAGATTGGAAATAGCTATATTATGTAATTTTTCTTTTACTTGTCTCATGAGTTTCTCACTTAGCAACTTCCATGTAGAATCTGTTACTGCTTGTTAGGGACTAGGTTGAACTAGGGCTTTGGGCTCATCAGCTGCAGGCAAGTATGGGCTACTCTTGCTCTCTTGTTGGGAAGGCAAAATCCCAGATCCTCAACTTAGGAACCCATCACCAAGGAATGACATTCTATCTCTGCTTCTAATAAAAGATGAGAATTGCCAAGATTCGGAAGATTCTATGTATAGATAAAAGTGGCTATTTTGAGGAAACTGTTCCTCCTGTCCTCACCTTATAAAACATGTCCCCCTCTTCCATCAGCTTGCTCAACAGGATGATCATGATGTCTGGTTTGGAGGTAGCCATCGCCCATGTGGCTGGACCTGTAGTGTACAGGATGCATGATGGGTAAAAAACTCATACAATGTAAGGGTGGTAGGAAGCTAGGTGAAAAAAACATCCCGGGGGAATTTCTGCTGAGAGAACAACTTGCTCCACAATAATTACCTCGTCTTTTAGACCTGGGAGTATTTTAGTGACTCCCACTGCCAAGAAGCTGTATTGGATTTGTATTCACCTTAAAATAAGAATATCTGAACTGTCTAAGCTTGCACCGTAGAAGGGCAGCAAAGCCTGCATGTTCTTATGAGTATACAATGGTGTAGTTTGGAATTATTTAGATCAGGAAATTAGGAGAAAGGGTTTACATTAAAGTTACCACAAGGTTTGAGAATCCAAGAAGGTTAATTTATTTTTGATCCAGGACTCAAAAGTCCCAGATATTTAGACTCTTGCTTTTTAAATATGTACTCCACAGAAGGGAAACCACTGAAGACTCTAAAGGCTCCCTTAATTTATAAGTAGCAGAAAGGACTCCCAGAAATTCAGTTTGAACCAGGAGCACAGTTTGAATATCAAACAAACATGAAACAAACCAACATTACTGAGGACTACTTTACCCACAAAAAGGAGAAAAGGTTAAATTATTAGTTTACAGATGCCTGAATTATTTACGAACTAAACTTTACAGGGTTAGTTATCAAAAGTTCAAGTTATTCTCTACAACAGTCATTTTTAAAAAATCTTCTTTTAAGGTGAAGTAAATTAAAAGATTAGAGGTGTAGGGAACTCATGCAGGCTAAAATCAAAGAGGAGAAGGCAAAGCTGACCAAGCCATCAGACCACGCCTGATGCTGACAGCGGTGAAATATACCTCGTGGGCGACTCGGTAACGTCTGACAACCTTCAAAGAAAGGAGAAAACAAAAAGTTGTAGGAGAGGAAAAAAAAAATGGATGAAGGTGAAAAAAAAAAAAAGAAGGAAAAAGCAGCAGTGAGAGGCAGGCAGCAAAAAAGCCAGCATATCAGCCAACCCTTGTCTACAGTTCTGTGGGGAGGGGAGCAGCTGGGACAGCAGCAGCAGGGGCTTGAGAGTCTGAAGCACATACAGAGCAAGGGAAAGCAAAGGCTCATGGCGCTGCAGGGATCCAGGATGCTCACAGGGTGGGCTAGTACAGAGGGAGCACTAAGCTGTGCTTAAGCTTAAGGTCAGGGCTTTCTTTTGGCTAAGGCTTCTAGGGGCATGGCAGAGAACCATGAAACTCTGGACACAGGGAACTATAGATCATGGCTCAGATGATACTTCTCTGGGCCAGGAACTTTTCTGTTCATTTGGGCAATAACTGGGCCAGGGCAGAAGGGAAGCTATATTTACACCAATACCCAGGGCAGCCAGGCCACTGGACCAGTCTGGCCCCTGGGCACAGATGGCCAATGCCATCTTTCTTTCTCCTACCTATTTTAGCTCCTTTCTTCAGGAGAGTGACAACAACAGAAGTGTTCCGGCACCCCACTGCCCTATCCAGAGGGCGCATCCCACTGTAGTCAACATGCTCAATCATGGCTCCATGATCCACCAGGAACTGGACCTAGAAGATGGATCAAGCAAAACAGTTAACAGAGGAGCAAGGGTTCAACATGGACCACTAAATTGTTATTTCACCTTTAATCTCAGACAGTATCACGATGGAGAATCTTCCCTATTCCTACTGTCTTGAGGCTAGTGTGAAGACACTCACCACCTCAGCATCACCATAGAAAGCTGCCAAGTCCAGTGGGGTGCGGCCATTCTTGTCGGCATGGTCTGTGGCAGCTCCATTATCCACCAGAGAACGTACTACTGAGAGATGACCCTTCAAACAAGCCCAGCTGAGGGCTGTCAATCCTTCTTTGTCCATTAAAGCAATAGAGGCACCTATAGGAGCAAGTGATAATACAGGACTGAGGAAACATGAAAATTCTTAGTAGATGGAAAACTAGTACTTAAGATATAAACACTGCCAAAGAACACCTTTTGTTTTTGGATGTTTCATTTTAATATTGACACTAATATATCAGTTATATCTCAATAAAACTATTGAAAATTGATCTTGGGGCTGGGAATGTGGCTCAAACAGTAGTGCGCTCACCTGGCATGCATGGGGCCCTGGACGTGAGAGCCACTGTGTACACTGGAAGATTAACTCTCTGATTCTGACACAGCTTTGAGTCTGAGGCTGTGATAAAAAGATCTTCCTTGAAGGATATAGCTGAAGATTCAATAAGTCTCTGTGCTGTAGTTTAAAATCTTAGAAGCAAACCAGTCTTTATCTTAATTCAACTAACCTCAGCTGCTAAAGCTTGGGAACAATTCTTTGGGAGTTGTTTTCCTTGAAGAAAAGTATGTGGTGATTTGTGGATATAATTAAAGATGTTTAAGATGAGTTTACTAAATAGTGGAGGTGAAATCATAGCTTTAGCTCTGTCACCTGCTTTGTGCAAATGCTCATAAGGCCCCACAAGATGGCACTGCAGTACCACCAATGACTCCAGCCTTTTTCTACTGTGGAGGTCTATCATCACCAACCATTGTTTTGCACAGGAGCCTGAAATGCTTTATGAGGGTGGAGCTCTATAGGAGAAAAAGCTCATCGAGCTCATAAATGACCACCTCCTATAATATCCTGTTTCCCCAACCAGGGTCCTACTATTAGCTCTTTTGGATTCAAGAAAAATGTTAGTTGTGCAGAACAGATAAAGTCAAAATACAACCTCTGGAAGAGGAACGTTTATTGAGAATACATTAAAACAAATCAAAGTTTGGAGATAATTGATTTGAATGAGTTCAGAATGTGTTGATTTAAAAATCCCTCAGGTCACAAGAAACAATGAATACAGGGTTAGAGTTATTCCATTGTATATAAGTGGTCAGGAGATGGCTTTTTTCATTTTCTAACCAATTGGATTAATAACATTCATTCTTTTTAAAATTCTTTTTTAGTTGTAGATGGACCCAATGCCTTTGTTTATTTATTTTTGTGTGGTGCTGAGGATGGAACCCAGTGCCTCACAGTGCTAGGCAAGTGCTCTACCACTGAGCCACAACCCCAGCCCAATAATATTCATTCATTCATTCATTCATTCTTCTTCTTTTGTGTGTGTGTGTGGTGCTGGGGATCGAACCCAAGGCACCGCACTTGCAAGGCAAGCACTCTACCAACTGAGCTATTATCCCTAGCCCCAATAATATTCTTAACACCTCCTGAAATCTACTGCTGAAAATCAGGAGTCCATTAAGTTATTATGGGCACTGACCATTCAACTCTGGCATGTATTACTGACCTTGTGCAAGAAGAAAGTCCACAGTTCCCAGATGGCCTTCAGAAGCAGCCATCATCAGGGGAGTACGACCTTGCTTGTCTGCCATGTTGACATCAGCTCCATGGGTAAGTAGAAGATCAACAATCTGTAAATGCAGAGAAACAGGGAACAATTGGTCCAAAAAGAACTATTGAGAAGATGCATGTATACTGTTCCCTAAAGTGTGTGATCTTATATGGCTGTACAGGTAAGTCACCTCTATAAATTCTATTAGTTTTCTACTAATAGAACCTCTTATAAGTACCTATTCAGTCCTAATGTGATTTAATCTCTAACTCTCTTAAGGAGAACTGAATGAGGTAGTTTCATCTCTGAATATCCAATTGAGCCATTAAGTTAAAAAACAAAAAACAAAAAACAAAAACAAACAAACAAACAAACAAAATATATATATATATATGCCAAGTTGTAATGCAGTCTGAACAATCCCAAAATGGAAGTTCCAACACAAATCACTACCTATGTCAGTGCATTTTATTAATCTCTCTGGGCTGCGAGCCTGCTTGTAGCAGTGAATATATACTCTGAACTGACTACTGAAGTGCCTCTGATAGCTCTTTACACTGTTTGGCTTTTAGAATCTTTTTTCCTACTCAAATCTATCCAAAGATTATTATTACGAAGCTTTCTTTTCCATCCTAAATATATAAATTAGCATTTATTTAGAATCCAAACAGTGGGGAACATCACATAACTCGAATTTGCATATACCACCACTTTCTTTTACCAAGTCTGAAACCCTGTGAGTAAGTGGTTTAGCAGAGATCTGCTGAGAACTGAACTTTCCAATATACTGGTTACTACTGTGAAGTGTGAGAAGGAGATCACTCCATGGCCAGGACAAAAGTAGTTAGTCAATCTAGACCACAACGACTGCTTTTTCCACTTCTTATGCAAAGAATAAGGGCTCCAAGGCCTGAGAAGCTGCAAGTAGCTTCCCTGCTTACCTGCCAGTGGCCCTGGCGAACAGTGCTGAACAGGGGCACTGCCCCTCGGCGGTTTGGCTGGGCCACTGCTGCGCCTTGCTCCAAGAGCAGACGGCATACCTCCAGTTTGCCTCTTCCGGCTGCAGCTGTCAGGGCTAAAGGCAGAGAACAAAGACTGAGGATAGGTGGTTCTTGTCTTCTCCAGGCCTCACTGTCAAGTATGGCATTAAGGCATTTCCAAATGATTTGTTTTATGCAAACACAGTAACTGCTTGATCAATATAATTACTACCTTACCTCCAAGAATAATGATTTTAGCTGCCTTTTCTAGGGATTCTTTATCACTGAGCTACATCCCTAGTACTTTTTATTTTTAATTTGAAGACAAGATCTAAGTTGGTGAGGCTTGCCTTGAATTTTGAATCCTCTGCCATAGCTTTCCAAGTAGCTGGGATTACAGTTGAGCACCACCATGCCCAGCCAGGAAGGAAATGTTTGAATTAAAAAATTTAAATGGGCTCACAATATCTGGGGACAACCATAATAATAAATCCACTGAAAAACAGCCTTTGATCAAACTTACTGAGTTTCATTTTCCCTACCCATATTATCTTCTTTGTCTTTAGCCTACCTCTCTTTTGTTTCTTGTCCTAATTAAGAACCTGCCAGCCTATGAGTGAGTGGAATATAGAGAGAAGGTACTTGGCAGAGATAGTCTTCTTTAGAATTGGATGGGAACCACCACTGGCCAACCTTTACTTCTGAGCTCTCAAACCTAAAGAACCAAAGTCAGGAATTAGAGTTTAAGGGCCTTGGAGCCAGTTTTTCATTGTTGTCTTTTCTTTGTTTCTCTTACTCTTTCATAGAGACAGAAGTTTCTTGTATATTTGCAAACATTTTTACATGCAGATCCAAATGACAGCCAGGTGCGGTGGTGCACACCTGTAATCCCAGCTACTCAGAAGGCTGAGGCATGAGAGGAGGATTGAAAGTTCAAGGTCACCTAGGCAACTTAGGGAGAACTTGTTTCAAACTAAAAAATAAAAAAGGGCTGGGGATGTCGATCAGTGATAGAGCACTTGCCTAGCATTCACAAGGCTGTGTGTTCCATTCCCAGTTCCAAAAAGATCAGATCATTCAAAATAATGGTCTTAAAGATGAGAAAAGAAGAAGGACAATGGCCATTTTCTTCTGAATATAAAATAATAAAATCACAGACAAAAATAGCTGTTGTGAGTATAAAGGATATAGCAGGAAAACTTTTTTACATTCTTTTTATGCTATTGTCTATTATTTGTGATCTTTGATACAGCAGACATTCTCTGAGTGCTAATTTCATTTTCAGTGTGCTGTTTTAATAGCAGAAAGAAGAATTTGAAGATACCAAGTCCATCTCTTAACAGTTATTTCATTTAAGCAGGGAATTTAAAATGCATATGTTTATTGTTTTAAAGAATGGATGAAGGGTAGGAAGGATTTTATGCTTAATTTTAAAGAAAGAGGACAGAAAAAAATTTCCCCAAATTGAACTGGGAAATGGATGTAGCAGGCAACAAACAGGTCCTTCCTTTATTATGGCCACCTATTCCAATGACAGATCAGAAAATGATAACATTTGGCAGGTGCAAACATTTCAGTTTGTAAATGTTGCAATCAGAGAAGCCACTGAAATTCAAATCAAATGGTCATTTGTATTTTTTTTCCACTGAAGTGCAAATTATGGCATTTTTGTTTTTAGGATTGTTATTTACCCACAATCACACCATATGCAAAATTAAAACTATCTATAATTTCCATGAAGATAAACCTTCAAGTAATCCTTCCTTTTCCCAAAATAAGATGGGGCTTATGAAGGAAAATGTGGCAATTTTTGAAAATGTACACAGTCCAATCAGATCTATGGTTTGCCTATGGTTTATTTTCAATTTTATTTTGGAACTCTTGACAGTGGCATTTCTCATTCAGTTCCTCATGGCAGGGCAGAAGCTTGGTTCTATCTGAGGTAATCACTTCCAAGCCTTGTTGGATTAACAAGAGTTAATGGCTATAATTACTGACTTTATAAAGAAGTTTTGTTTCTGGATCTTTAAATCCAAGTGATCTTCTCTCTTTCAAGTTCAAATTTCTAACAAGAAAAAAAAATTGTATGGGTGAGAACACAAGAGTAGTTTAAGAATTTGACTGGGATAAACATAGGTTAGGCATAATAAGAATCATCTTATGCTGGGAGTAGTAGCATATGCCTGTAATCCCAGTGGTTTGGGAGGCTGAGCAGGAGGATCGAGAGTTCAAAGCCAGCCTCAGCAATGTAGCAAGGTCCTAAGCAAGTCAGTGAGACCCTAAATGAAAATATAAAAAAGGGCTGGAAATGTGGTTCAGTGGTTAAATCCCCCTGGGTTCAATTCCTGGTTAAAACAACAACAACAACAAAAACAGACAAACAACAACAACAAAAAGAATCATCTTGTTGGAACATAAAACAAACCATTCCCAGGTTCTGACCCCATTTAAAATTAGCTACTAGGTTACAGGGTTGCAGCAAACCTATGTGTGGGGGCCAAAGAGTCTTTACCACAAAAATAATTTAGAGCACCCTAGAGAAAACAGACAATAGTTCAGAATCAAACCTCTCACTAATGATGCTAGCTCAGAAAATACATGTGAATATTCACAGCCAGTGCCTGTCTGTGAAGTTATACTGTCTACTCTAAGAATTTTATTACTCTGGTTGACCCATTTCTCTCTATCAAATAATGCATTTTTATGAGAGGCAATGTTCCATTTGGTCTTTTTTTTTTTTGTATCATCTCTGTTGCTTAGGTTATAATGTTATTTGGCAGTAAGTAACCTTCAGCTGATAGCTTGACATGGTTATTAACACAGCTGGCCAATTTCATCTCAAAACAACATATAACTATGTAAAATGGAGTCTGAACTTTTCAAAATCCAAGAGCAAGGAGTTGCTTTGGCTGGGTTTTATGAGTCTTATCAAAAACTGTTAGAACTTTGAGAGAAAGGAGATTAAGGTAAAGCCAGGTCTGTAAAACAAATTGATTCTTAGAACAAACATAGCAGTTAGGAACAAAATCCCTTCCTAGGAGACCAGAAACAGAATTTGTTCCCTAGCTTGTCAGCATCTGATGAGATTATCTGACATAAATGGGCTTTTTTCAAAGGGAAACATATAAGGAGTTTGAAGAAGTTGACAGGATGCAGCTCAGAGTTGGAGGAAATAGCCAAAGTCTGCTTGGATGGGATGCTGACAGTAAATAGAATACAGAGAAGCAAATGACTCTTTTTTCCTATTTTCAACCTTGAAATAGTACAGAATGTATGATTAATGAGAGAAGGTGGTTGGGGAGACATAAACTGAATACTACTATTCAAAATCACATTAATTAAACCATTTATTGAGCTATTTGTTCTCAAGGAACTCGTGGTCCAGAAAGAAAATATATTACTGTACAGTGTGATAAGCACAACAGAGATATGTCCATGGTATGGAGGTGTTGACAGGAAAAGTAAACCAACAGGTCCTTTCTACAGCTCTAGTTCACATATGAATACTCCAGAACTGCTGCTGTCCTGGCCAGTTCATTTCCCTCAGCCTGTACTCTGGCTCTCATAGGGGCGGGGTTGTTTTCCGAGATAGCAGCTGTTTCCAGATGCACATTTTCCCTTAATTTGTCATGGGCTCTTAAGCTGCAGCTGCCTGGCATCTGTTCCTTTTGGCTCTTACAGAGAAAGGGATTGTTTGAGAAGAAAATTCCTAAGCTTTGGACCATTCCACATGATGACCACTTAAAAAAGTCATGAAATCTACATGAAATTTTACCATGAGAAGAAACATTACAATTCAATAGGTTGTTATAAGTGTTTAATAAGTTCAAGAATCTTCGCTTATTTTTAACAACCAAAATGTATATCCCTTCTTGTTGAGCAAAATAAATGGCCTAATATCAATTTTGGTCTATTTCTCCTGGCAAATATGACACATATCTGTGGCTATGCTACCATCTTCCTTGCCCTGGTTTCACAAAAACACATCAAGGGTTACTAATGTTTCTTCAGATGCTCCAGTTTAGATTTGGTGGAAAGATAACAATCATTTCCTGCAAAGGCCACAAGGAAGAGGCTTCTGTTTGTATAGTAAGTACCAAGTGATAAAGAAATTGCTTTGCTATATGCTAATAAGAAATGCATGGAGTTGGGTCTCACAGGGCAACTTTACTTATAAAGTTTAAGTGTGTCAGATATCACTGTACCATGGTAACAACTAAGCCAGGAATCGATAAATAAGTAATCTTCTGGTTTACAACTGCAGGTGAAGAGAATCATTTTGGTGGAAGAACTAAAAGAATCAAATAAAAAAGAGAAATTCCACAATCATCTTTTGCTCATGTTGGAACACTGAAAATAAACTTTCAGTCTTCTACAAATATTTGGAAACAAGAGTGGGAAAATGTTTTGTTTGGAAGTGCTAATGGTATGGAGAACCCAAAGGGAAAGAGGACTGAAAGAAAGAAAAAGAAGACTGACTTTTTTACTTGGGCTGAATAGGTCTCTAACACAAAAATCGTAAGACAGAGATGTGCCAAAGGTATGCCAGAGAAGAAATAAGGGTATGGATAAGCTGTAGCTGCCTGGCATTTGTCCATACAAATATAACACATTCATGAGAGAAACAAGCAATATCTATTAGAAGTACCTGTCTCTCCCCAGAGACTGTCAAAGCTGTTGATCTGTGCTCGCTCTACTTCTTCTTCATCTTTTTCTGGAAGATCAAGTAGGTAGGAGACAATCTGAAACAAGAAGTTGTATCAGCTCAAACTTCAGGTGGAAAACTATGTTACTGACACTAGCCTGTGAGGTTTTGAAGATGGCAGGATCATCCAAGTACCACTAAATCTCTTGCATACAAGAAGAATCCAAATCAACTGCCCTTGTGTAGAAACGCTAAACTGCCCTGATTAGCATCTGTCCTACCATGTACAGTTCATGTTTCTCTTGAATATAATTCACTTATGTAGCATATGATTTTAAAAATACATATTCTTCCTGTTTAAGTTAAAGAAACAGAACCTTATTTCCCCAATAACACCAAAATGGAGAAAATTAAAGACTTGTATTTCTTCAGAGCAGAGTGATTATCATCCTTCTTCCTCTTAGAAGCATAAGAACAGTTTGGGTCTACTAAAAGAGATGGCTACTAACCAGAAAAAAAAAAAATGAGATAGCCCTATTTCCAGGAATTTGATTGGATAGAGTGCTAAAAAAAAACCTTCCATAGATAATAAAATTTTCGGTTTTACTTAATATTCTCTTGGTGACATACCACATCAGCCAACAGGGTAGCTGTTTCACTGAAGCATCCTATGCAGTGATGTGGTGATGGTCTGTAGGGGTCCATGAGAGCTGATTGTTAAATTTTCAGGAATTTTGCAAGCTGGTTGTTAAGCAAAGCCACTCATTTGTTAAAAATTAAATAACAATTAAATAAATTATGTTAAAAACAAAGGTCAAAGTATACTTAAACCTGGAGCTAGTGCTGTAGTTCAGTGGTACAGCACTTGTTTAGCATGTGAGAGGCCCTGGCTTTGATCTCCAGCATTGCATAAACAACCATCCAACCAAACCAAACCAAAAAACCCCCCCCGATTCTCATAACTTCCTATTGAATTACATCTTATTATTATCTATCCTCTTGAAGTTATTTATATTTACTGTGTACCTCTTTCCACCTTTGTATTCAGCAGTATCACATTGGTAACTTGAAATTGGCCATGGTGGGAATATTTACATGCTGGAAATTGGCAAATGTTACAAATTAGTGTTTGAGTTAAAGCTGAAAGAAGTTTCAGTTTAAGCAATATAATTTATATGAAGAGGAGTAGTTTAACAATAGATCCCATATCAGATTTAATGACAGTAAAGTTATTGGTAAAAGAGTTAACAATTGAGATGCATCTCCATTTGTCAAATCATGATTAGGTTGCAAATACTGGATAGCTGCAGATGCAAATTTGGCAAAAAAAAAATCAACAAAAAGCATTCAATTAGGAGTATTGAGTATATCATAAGTATTTGTAAAAAGTATGTGACACATTTAGATCAGTAATATTTACTATTTATTAGAGCTTTTTTTTAATCATAAAGTATGCCTTTGGCATTTTCTTGTTCTTTTTAGTTATATATGACAGTAGGATGTATTTTGACATATACATACATGGAGTATAACTTCTCATTCTTGTGGTTTACATGATGTGGAGTTACACTGGTCATGTATTCATATATGATCATAGGAAATTTATGTTTGGTTCATTTTACTGTCTTTTCTGTAACCATCCCTCTTCACTCCCCTCATTCCCATCTGTCCAATCTGGTGTGCTTCCATTCCCCCGCCTCTTGCCACCTACTGTGAATCAGTATCTGCATATCAGAGAACATCTGGCCTTTGGTTTTTTGGGACTGGTTTATTTCACTTAGCATGATAGTCTCCAGTTCCATCCATTTACTGGCAAATGCCATAATTTCATTCTTCTTTATGGCTGAATAATATTCCATTGTGTATTTGTACCATATTTTCTTTATCAATTCATTTGTTGAAGAGCACCTGGGGTTGGTTCCTTTGCTTAGCTATTGTGAATTGAGCTGTTATAAACATTGATGTGGTTTCGTCACTGTACTATGCTGATTTTAAGTCCTTTGAGTATAAACTGAGGAATGGGATAGCTGGGTCAAATGGTAGTTCCATTCCAAGTTTTCTGAGAAATGACCATACTGCTTTCCATAGTGGTTACTCCAATTTGCAGGCTCACCAGAAATATATGAGTGAATCTCTTTTTCCACATCCTCACCAATACTTATTATTGAATATATTCTTGATAATTGCCATTCTGACTGGAGTGAGATGAAATCTCATTGTAGTTTTAATTTGCATTTCTTTTATTAGAGCTTTACAGCTATACATAGTAGCTGGGTTCAACCCAACAAACTCATACATGCATGGAATTCTATTTCAGTTCATGATCCCTCCCTTTTCCTCCCATCCTCCTTCCTCTCTCCCATTCTCCTTCCTGTACTCTACTAGACTTCCTTTTGCTTTCTACTCATTTATATTTGATTGGTTCTTTATGTTAGCGTATCCCTCCTCCCTGCTTTCCTTTATTTTACTCTAGCTTCCGCATATGAGAGAAAATATTCAACCTTTGAGTTCTGAGTTTGGCTGATTTCATTTAATATGTGCACATATACATACATATATATATACATACATATATCACAATTTCTTAATATGTGTGTGTGTATATATATATATACATCTCACAATTTCTTAATCCATTCATCTATTGATAAGCATCTGGGTTGGTTCTATAATTTAGCTATTGTGAGTCATGCAGTTATAAACATTGATGTGGCTTTATTGCTGTACTATGATAATTTTCGATCATATTCTTCCAAATGAATTTAAGAATTTTTAAATATTTATTTTTTAGTTGTAGTTGGACATAATACCTTTATTTTACTTATTTTTACGTGTTACTGAGGATTGAACCCAGGGCCTCACACGTGCTAGGCGAGCACTCTACTGCTGAACCACAACTCCAGCCCCTAAGAATATATATATTTTTTTTAATTCTGTGAAGAATGTCATTGGTATTTTGATGGGGATTTCACTGAATCTGTGTACTGCTTTTGGTAGTATAGTCATTTTAACAATATTGATTCTGTCTATCCAAGAATAGGAGATGTCATTCTATTTTTAAGGTCTTCTTCAATTTCTTTCTTCAGTGTTTTATAATTTTCCTTCTTCTACCTCCTTGGTTAGATTAATTCCCAAGTATTTACTTATTTATTTATTTTTGTGGTTACTGTGAATGAGATGGTTTACCTGATTTCTTTCTTGGCTGAATTACTGTTGGGAGTATAGTAAAATTTTTTATTTATGTGTGTTGATCTTATATCCTGCTGCTTTGCTGAACTCATTTATAAGCTCTAGAAATCTTCTGCTAGAGTTTTTTGGTCTTCTAGATATAGGATCATGTCATTGGCAAACAGAGATAGTCTGACTACTTCTTTTTCTATTTGTAACCCTTTAATTTCCTTTTCTTGCCTGATTACTTTAGCTAACACTCCAAGGACTACATTGAACAGGAATGGTAAGAGTGGATAGCCTTGTCACCTTTTCTTGTTCCTGATTTTAGAGAAAATTCTTTTAGTTTTTCTCTATCCTTATGATGCTGGCTTTAGGATTTGTCATATGGCCTTTATGATGTTGATGGAAGTCCCTTTGATCCCTAGTTTCTCCAGTATTTTTAAATATGAATGAATGTTGGGTTTTATCAAGGCCTTTTCTGCATCTATTGAGATGTTCATGTGATTTTTGCCCTTAATTCTGTTTAAAAGATGAACAGAATATACACTGATTTGTGTATGTTGAACCAACCTTGCACCCCTGGAATGAAACCCATTTGATTATATTGCATATAATTGAATTATTGCATCTATACTCATCAGGGATTTTGGTCTGTAGTTTCTTTCCTTGATGCATTTTTGGTTTTGGTATCAGGGTTATACTGGCTTCATAAAATGTACCCTTTCTTTCAATTTCATGGAATAATTTGAGAAAGACTGGTGTTTGTTCTTCTGTAAAAATCTGGTAGAACTCAGGTAAGAATCCATCAAGTCCTGGGCTTTTCTTTTTTTTGGAAAATTTTTAATTTTGGTTTTGATATCATTATTTGATATTAGTCTATTTAGTTTTAAAAAAAAATCTTCCTGATTCAGTTTGGGCAGGTCATATGTGTCAAGAAATCTGGCCATGTCTTTCAGATTTTCCAGTTTATTGGAGTATAAATTTTCAAAATAAGTTCTGGTAATTCTCTGAATTTCAGAGGGTCTGGGATGATATCTCCTTTTTCACCTCTGATCTTACTGATTTCTCTTCTTACTCGTTCTTTTGGTTAGTTTGGCTAAGGATTTGTCAATCTTATCTTTTCAAAGAACCATCTACTCATTATATTGATCCTGTGTATTATTTTCTAATTCTCACTTTCTTTGATTTTGGTCCTGATCTTAATTCTTTTTTGATTCTACTGAATTTGGGATTATTTTGTTCTTTTTTTAAGGCCTTAAAGTCAAGCATAAGCTTATTTATTTGGGATTCTCTAGTTTTTTAATGTAGTTACACAGTTATTGTAAATTTTCCTCTTAGAACTGCTTTCATACTGTCCCAGAGATTTTGATATGTTGTATCTCTGTTCTCATTAATTTCTAAGAATTTCTTGATTTCTACTTTTCTTTCTTCTTCTTCTTTTTTAAAATTTTAGATGTAGTTGGACACAATGCCTTTATTTTTTATTAATTTTTATGTGGTGCTGAGGATTGAATCCAGGGCCTCACACATGCTAGGTGAGCACTCTACCACTGAGCCCCAGCCCCAGCCCTTTACTTTGATTTCATCTTTGATCCATTCTTCATTAAAAAGAGTATTGTTCAATCTCCATGTGTTTAATATGGATCCTATTATTTTTCTTGCTGTTGATTTCTAGTTTCATTCTATTATGCTCTGATGGGAAAAAAATATATATATACACCTATATACATATATCATATATATAAGAGTGTGTGTGTATGTATATATATATGTGTGTGTGTGTGTGTGTGTGTATGTATGTATATGTATGTATGTATGTATATATGTGTGTGTGTGTGTGTGTGTGTGTGTATATATATGATTTGCTTTGTGGCCTAGAATATGATCTGTTTTGGAAAAAGTTCCAAGTAGCTGAGAAGGTAAATTCAGCTGTTTTGGGGTGGAACATTCTGTATATGTCCATTAGGTCCATTTGATTCATAGTGTTTAGGTTGGAGATATCTTTATTGATTTTTGTTTTGATGACCTATCTATAGGTGAGAAGTGTATATTTAAATTACCCATTATTATGGTGTTGGGGTATGTGAGACTTAATGTCATGGAGTATTTTTCCATGAAATTGGGTGCACTGACATTGGGGGCATAAATTTTTACTACTGTTATATCTTCTTTTTTGACTGTTCCTTTTACTACGGTGTAGTGGCCTTCTTTGTCTCTTCTGATTAATTTTTGCTTGAAATCTGCTTTGTCTGAGAACAGCTACTCCTGCTTTTTTTTGACCATAGATGTGGAATATTTTTGGTCATCCTTTTACCTTTAGCCTGTGGATGTATTTGCCTATGAAACTCTTGTAACAGTATATTGTTGAATCTTGTTTTTGATCTATTCTGCCAATCTGTGTCTTAATTGGTGACTTGATATTATTAACATTCAGCATTAGTATGGATATGTGTTTGTGGTTTTTTGCTATTTTTTTTTGCTATATATTATCTTGTCTTGATTCTCATTTAGTGGATTATTCTTCTATTGAACTTCCTCTGTTGGGGAGCTTTGGGAATTATTTTTTAGTTCTTCTGTGTGCAGTTTATCTTTGAGTATTTTTTTGTAATGCTGGATTGATGCTCATAAATTCTTTTAGTTTATTCTTGTGGAAAGTTTTTATTTCCCCCTCAAATTTGAAACTGAGCTTTACTGGGTATAGTAACCTTGGCTGGGAGCTGTCTTCTCTTAGGGCTTGGAATATCTCATTCCAGGCCCTCCTTGTTTTTAGCGTCGGAGCTGACAAATCAGACATAACCTTATTGGTTTGCTTCTAAGTGTGACCAGATGTTTCTCTCGTATAGCCTTTAATATTCTTTCCTTATTTTCTATGTTAGCAATTTTGATTATGATGTCTTGGTGAGCTTCTTATTTGACTAGGTCTATTTGGGGTCCTGTAAGACTCATGTATGTATATGTTTATCTTGTTTCTGATATGAGAAAAGTTTAACTACTTCATTGGAAATTTCTTTATGCCTTTAATATCTCCATGTTCTTGTCTATTCCTTGATTCTCGGGTTTGGTCTTTTAAAAGTTGTCCCAGAGTTCTTGTATATTCTGGTCACATTCTATAATTTTTTCCCTTTATTGCTTTTCTGTGTACTCACGATAGCCTGCATGAAGTTCAGTCTTCAAGGGCTGAGATTCTATTTTCTACATAATTTAATTTGTTAGTGATGCTGTCAAGTGAGTTTTTAATTTGATTGGCTGTCTCTTTCATTTCTAGGAGTTCTGCTTGATTTCTTTTCACTATTTCTATTTCTTCATTAAAGTGGTCTTTCATCTCCTGTAACTGCTCTCTTAATTCCTTCCTTAGATCTTTTAGTTCACTGAACATTTTTTATTAATCAGTTTTTTATAATCTTTCTCTGGGCTTTCATCCACTTTGCTATCAGTAGGATTCTTTGTTGGGGGATTGTGAATTTTGGGGGAAGATTTTTTTCTCCTGTTCTCTTGTGTTTTCAGAGGTCTTGGACTTGTGCATCAATTGAGGTGGATTCCCTTACTTCTTTTTTTGTATGTATGTGTCCTTTTTTATGTAACTATCTTATTTGTTCTTGGGACTTCTCTCTGTTTTTGATGTATGCGGAGATGCTAAAAGGTGGGAACTGAGTTCCCTCTCTGATTGTTCCTCCTTGGATCTTTGTTGTTGGTTTGGGGCTTTTGTCTACTCAATTTTTGAGTTGGAGAAATGTCAGGAACTTGCAATTCAGCAGTAGAGTATCTAACCTGTGAATTTTTAGCATCCCTAAGGGTTCTCAGCACCTCACAGAATGGGGCAAAAGAAACAATAGTAACAACTGTTGCAAACAACAAACAACACACAGTGTTAAAGTAAATATGCAGTTCCTATGTCTTCAACAGAAATTAACCAATAAATAGAAAAAGGTTCAGCAATTGTCAACAATAAAAACAATAACCATGAACTAGATCTGGCTTTAAAGCAAACAGCAGGTACAATTATATCATCCACAGCAGTAATAACTGTATTAGCAGTAATGATGGGATAGGAGTCATGTAAACCAATCAATTCTGAAAGACAGTAAAAATACAGTAAATTAGGAGAAAAGGAAATGTGTTAGGAAGTTACAAAAGATTTTATAATTTAAAAAAGTGAACAGAGAGAATGAAGAAGAGATGTAGCAGGTGATGTTTATACAAAAGGAGGGGAAAAACAGAAGGAAGGTATTGGGAGAGAGAACAGAATTTGGTGGTTGGCAAAAGAGAGAAAGAGAAACAAAGCAAACACATGAATATAATGCAAAGCCAAACCAAAATATACAATCAAAAACCCAAACCTCAGAAGACACTGCTAGGAAAAAACAATTGCATTAAAAATGCTAAACATGAGAGAAAGAGAACTTACGTATGTCCCTGAGTTAATCAGCACAGTTAGAATTCATACACATGTACACATACTCCCCCTCCACAAAGAATAAAAAAAAAAATTAAAAAATTAAAAAAAAACCCAAATCTTAGTGAAGAATGAAGGAAGCTTCTCCACTGAAGTGGTCAAAATAGTTGACCAGATTAGAGAGTTACTGTCTATGTCCAATAGTCTTTCTTTCGAATTCTTCTTGAGTTATGTACTGATAGAGAGAACAGGGGATGGAAGATGTTAACCCCTTCTTGTTTGTATGTTGCTCTCTGTTATGGTTTGGATGGGGTGTTCTCCAAAAGTTCACTTGTGAAACAATGCAAGAAAGTTCAGAGAAGAAATGATGGAGTTACAAGAGCCTTAACCAATCAGTGAACTAATCTAATCACCTATGGGACTGAGTGGCAAATGAAGGTAGGTAGGGTGTGGATGGAGGAGGTGGGCATTGGGGGTGTGACTTTAGGGTATATATTTGTATCTGACAAGCAGAGATCTCTTCTCTGCTTTCTGATCATCATGTAAGCTACTTTCCTCTGCTGCATTCTTCTGCCATGATGTCCTGCCTCACCTTGGGCGCTGAGGAATGAAGCCACTTATCCATGGACTGAGACCTCTGAAACCGTGAGCTCCCAAATAAACTTTTACTCCTCTAAAATTGTTGTGATCAGGTCTTTTAGTCAGAGATGTGAAAAAGCTGACTAAAACACTCTCTGAGCTGCCAAATGGAGTGACCTAAGACTGAAGCTGTTTGATAGAAGACTGAGTTTCCCTTCTTACAAGTATGGGGTGAAATGTATTAGGATGTTCTGTCAGTTGGTGTTTTGTCCATTTGGACCAGTTGAGTGCATTCTCAGGGTTTAGCTTCTGCAGCTCTGTGAGGGAAGTGTCAGCAAATGGTTCTGAGGTCTACACAGGCTTCAGGGCCTTTGTTGGGTGGTACCTTCTTTAGAGAAACTAGACTGACCTACCCCCAGGGTTTGACAGTAGCCAATCTCTGGTGTGGGTCTGGTTCTCAGGAGCCTCCCAAGAAATCCAATTGTGGGGCAGGGGGTCTGATCCTCCACTTACTGTTGCCCTGAAGCACAGCCTTCCTGGGCTTAGTCCCTGAGAATATTTACTCCAACCTGTTCAGCTGGTTATGTGAGCTCCCCAACACAAAGGAGAAGCAAGTTGGACTCTCCTTTGCCCATCCAATTTGAAACCCCCTGGGTATAGTCTACTCAGCACCTGTTTCACTCATGTTCTGTCAGGCTCAGGCTAGGTTACGGATAGGCACCTGCCAGGAAATTGTGGCTGTTTTTATGTTTTTTTCCCCTGCTGATCGCCCAGGTCTTATAGTTGCCAAGGTGGTGCATTTGTTCCAAGATGGCTCCCACCTCATTTTTCTGGGGCCAGCTGAGACACAGAGGGCCTTTTTCAAGTACCAGCATACAGTGCAGCCTCTGGTTCAGCTAAGATTATGCAATATTTTTGATCTCAGCTTTCTCTGTACCAAAATTGTGTTTCCCCTCTCTCTGTGGTGAATGCACCCTGGCAGCACCTATGGGGTCAGCTGTGATGCACATTTTTTTTTTGGTTATTGTGCCCAAATTTCTGAGCCCCTAAGCCACTTTGAGTGTCCAATATTAAATTTTAGTGAAATCCTTATTTCACCTACCTCTCTGAGAAGCTGTACATCCACTGCTTTGATTCCATGCCAGTAAAATTTATAATAAACTCATGTATGTGCATACTCTCTCTCTCTCTCTTTCTCTCTCTCTCACCTGCTGCACCCTTCTCCCCTCTTCAGCATCAGTTGTTAAACAAATCATAGTATATGACCATTTCTGCATATTTGTCACTATTAATATTATTACTATCATTAGTAAATAAATTAGCAAAAATACTATTTGTATGGTGTTTAATTGTTTACCAGGAACCCTCTGTAATAAACAACTTTGTAAGTAAGAGTAATTTCATTTTTTGATGGGGAACTGAGGTTCTAAGAGATCAAGTAAATTGCCCAAGGTCTAGATCTAATGGGCAGCAAAACTAGGACAAAAACCTGATCTTTCTGATATTTTACATGTTGTTTTCTTCCTATTTCATGTTCTAACTATGTAATTACAGGTCAGTAATTAATCCTTCTGTGGTTCTGTCATTGTCTGTTAAAAGGGGTGGAAATATGGGGGAGAGATTGGATTAGATAATTTCCAAAGTCTTTTTCAACTTTTTGTCCATAATTCTAGGTGCCTTGGCATTTAAGTAGTCAAATGCCTCATGGAGTTTCACCTCTTTATTCCTTAGGGTAGTGACCAAAAAGTTAATTTGGCTGGCCGTTTTATAATATGCAATCTCACAGGTTCTTGAATGCTTGAAAAAAAAAAAAAAAGAACCCTATCACATTCTTCTTACCTCAGTGTAACCCATGCTGGCTGCAGCAATGAGGGCCTGCTGGATGGCATGGCTCTTTTTAAACACTCCTTGCTGCTGGCCGGCCATTGTCCAGTCACACTGAATCAAAAACTTAACGACCTCCAGATGACCTCTGAGTGCAGCATGAACCAAAGCACACTGTCCATTCTTATCCAAGTGATCCACCTAAAGGGAGAGAACAGAAAAATATGTGTGAACCAAGACCTGTGGCTGTACACCCAATCTAGACACCAGTCCATTGCACATGTCTAGACTACTAAGATTCATTCTTTCCAATCTTTGAACTAATCTCTGAGCAAATTTAGAAAATACTTTCTCTTCAGGCTAGAATAGTACCAAACTACAACTCTGCCTGATGTGCCTCTGGGGAGAACTTCTTTTCTTCAAAAACAAGGTCAGTTTTTTGTTTTAACGTTAAAAGAAAAATAAACAAAATGCTCAGCTCACACTTTGTTTTCCTGAGGTACATTCCCCTTTGTCCTCAAGTAGCTTCCCTCAGAGAAAGATTTGAAAGACTTGTAGCTCTATTGGCACAAAACACTGTCTTTAAAATCATGAAAAAGAAAAATAAAACATTTTGGAGCTCTAACTTTTTGGTGTTCCAAAGAAGCAAAATATATCATATCATGAACTACTCATTTGACCACCAATCTTTGGCAAAGATTAAATAGTCAAGTGCCTCCGTTCTTCCAGCAGGAGGGTAGAATCTCAAAGACCTGGCTAGAGGCACTTGGAGCTAGACTGAGCTCTAACAGGAGTTTTTCTAATTTTAGTGTTGCTTTCCAAGTTTAGATTGAAAGAAGAGGCTGCTTGAGATCAATCCACCAGCCGGGTTTGATAGTAAATGCCTGTAATTCTAGTGGCGTGGAAAGCTGAGGCAGGAGGATCACGAGTTCAAAGCCAGCCTCAGCAAAAGAGATGTGCTAAGCAACTCAGTGAGACCCTGTCTCTAAATAAAATACAAAATAGGGCTGAGGATATGGCTCAGTGGTTGAGTGCCCTTCTGTTCAATTTCTGGTATCATTCCCCCCCGCCTCGCCCCCCAAAAAAGATAATCCACCAGAAGGCCCTGAGTCACAAGTTTCAATGAATGAAATGGCCTTTTCTAGCAGAAACACTGTTATCTGTATATGGTAGTTAAAGCACTTGAAACTTAAGTTCTGTTTCTGGTTCCCCCAGTAACTGGTTCCAACCAGCAATCCACATGACAAATGTTTATTGAATGCCTAGTATGTGCAGGGTACCACGTGGGATAAAAACACAATAAGACAGGAATATGTAGATTCTGCTCTCAAGAACTTTGAAATGAGGTATGGGGAGATGTGACCAATGTGACAAAAGCCTGTCCAACAAAGAAGTTTATAATAAATGCCTTAAGGAAAATGAAAGTATAATAAAATTTCAGAGGAAAGAAAAATTAATTCCCGATTAGGAACAGATTCAGAATTAAAAGTTTTAATTTACGTTTCTGCTCTGGGGAAACAATGAAAAATAACTAAAAATACTGGCTTGGTAGTATAAGGGATGAGCAGCAGGAAAGATCCAGTACCAGCAGAGATTTGAATTTACGGCAAAAGTAATACAAGGACCAGTTATCATTCTCTTTCTAGAGATGTCCATTCAAAGAAATGGAACATTATTAAAGGTGGACAATAACTGTGCCACAGTAAACATCTAAGGCTCTGAGATTTCACTCCCAAAGGAGTCTCAGGAGTCCTATTTTCTTCCCTGGTAAGTGTTGAAAGCCACAGCGAAGGGGCCCCAGCATACTTCCAGCTGCCAGCAAACTTTCAGACTGCCAGCTGATGATTGGCTCACAGCGGCCCCAGCAACATCTAGCTGATTGGCTCCTCTGTGGTGATGCTCATTGGGCTGTTTCCCTGCCCTTTCAGACCATGGAGCTGCTCATTGGGGGACTTCTTTGGCTCCACCCATGCGACCCAGCCAATCGGCCTCAAGAGCAGGAGGATTGTGGGAGTGGGGGAGGCTTGTGTTTGGGGGGAGAGAGGCTTGTGGGAAGCCGGTGGTGGCAGTTGGGCTCTGAGGGTTTTTCCTGAGGAGCTGTTTTGTTTGGCGTGTGTAGTTCTAAAAATAAAGTTAGTTTCTTTTGACAAGTGGCTCCTGAATTGTGCCCAGCCAGACTGCAGCAGGTAAGAGCACTAGATACCTCAGAATGAGATATATTACTTATATGTCTACTGTGAAACCAACATCCTTGGTTTGTTTTCAGGACTGAATCAAAATACCATGAGATCACAATTTTCCCCAGAGGCCAACATTTGTGAGGCCAGAATTTTTCTTTTAATCGATACTTTGAAATTGAGTTCTTTTATATCAGTGATTCTGGAGATAAAGAAAAGATTTTGTTAATGTTTCTGAGAACTGAAATATACTAACAAACGCTTTGAGGTATACTTGGTCAGAGTATAAACAGGGGGAATCATCTTTTCCCAAAAATATCTCTAGGATGGTGGTCTTCAAGGACAGGATGAGGGGAATCTGGTCTTCTCATCTCCATTGGTTAACATTTCTTTTCTACATATAAAAGAGTCTGTAGTGCCATTCATTTCAGACCTCTTGCTACAGTCTCCTCCTTGCTCCCTTACTTCTCTTTCCTTTCCTGTTAAGAAAAGAGATTTTTCTGAGCTCAGTAGAGAATTTCCAGGATGTTTTTTGTTGCTGATAAGTGTAGTTTCCTAAGTGCCTCTCAAGGATTTTACAACTGTGTCCAGCTGTGGTGTGGACTGGGGGGGGGCAAGTGGGCAAACACTGGGTGTAAGCTGAGGCACCTTCCCTTGATCTGCTTCCAGTCAGGGTTTGATATACCATAGGAGTTAAGGAAGACTCTGTATCTGGAAGAAAGAAAAAGGGAAAAAAAGGAAAAGTAGCAGAGGCAGGCAGTCAATTACCTTGGCCCGTTTCTTGCAGAGTAGCACCACGATGCTCAGGAACCCTGCTGCTGCGGCATATCCCAAAGGAGTCAGGCCACTTTCAGAAGAGGCATCTACATTGGCCCCAAATTCCAAAAGCAAGGCCACCATTTCTGTGTAACCAAGATGAGACTGAACACATAGAATTGGAGCATTATTTAAAACCTCTGTCCGGTAATTAATATTGGCACCTCCCAAAATCAGCAGTCGGCTGACCTAAAAATAAATAAATAAATGAAATAATAATCAGATAATAGAAATAATAATCAGATATCAGCTATATTCCAAAATGTCTAGCAGCATTTAGTAATTTTTATCTTGCTGTTGAAAGGAACATTAAGTTTTCTCTTTTTGCTCATTAGCTAGAGCAAATGCCACCCATACTATAGGGCTGAACATCAGCTCTACTAAGTGAACTTCTCACCAGAAAAACTCCTCCCAAAACAAGATACCCTAGATCCCATATGCTGAAAACAGCTTATAGAGGTAGATGGACAGTAGGGTTTATCTTCGAGTGAGATAACGAAGTGTAAACAAGTTAAAATAAATTATTAGTAAGAGATTGACAGGAGACAGTCTAAGGCAAGTCAGAGTTCATCAAAACAGCTACTTAATGTTCTTCTGACATTTTTTCACAGTTAATTCTTTTAAGTATTTGTAATTTTTTAAAAAAATTTTTGCATTTACTTTTATATTTGGAGTGTAGAGATTTCGTAGAGATGCCAATGCCATGGAAAGACCTTCTGTGCTATAAGAGATCCAGAGACCTTGGAGGATGGAAGATGATACTCCAACTTTTTTACTCAAACCCTGAAAAAGAAATACAGAGACAACTCAATTACTAGCCAAGCTAAAAAGTATCATCAGTTGTTAGTGGTCTCTAGATTTGTGGTATTAATAAATAAGAGCAGAGTCTCACCTTAACAATATTCAAGCCCAAGAAAGCCCATCTGCTGATAGGGACAAAAACTACTCTTATAGGAATAAGGGAACTTAAATTGTCTTTATGTGGGCAGTTAACAAATCTACTTAACATCTTTCTTTTCTATTCTATCTGATGTAATTTGTTTTTCCATATCTTTTTAATCAGCCTTCATGAATGAGTCCCTTAAATTCAAATTACTAAAATTATACTGTGGCAGAGATAACACATTGTGATTACTGATTTTCATTTCATACTGGGAATTTGAGAAAACTATTTCTCAGGCTCCTTTAAAGTTAGTGGGTCATGTGACTGAATTCTGATTAATAAAATTGGGGTAGAAATAATATACCATGTCCAGGTGTGGCCCCTCAAATCTCATTTCTGCATACTTTATGACTCTTGACTACAGGTCAGATGCAGATAATTCAATGGAGATAATTTCAGTAATGTTACATAGAGTGGGGTATGGTGGCACATGCCTGTAATCCCAGCAATTTGGGATTACAGAAGTTTGAGACAGAAGGATCATAAGTTTGAGGCCAGAAATTTAGCAAGACCCTAAGCAACTTAGTGAGATTCAGTCTTAAAACAAAAATTAAAATGGGCTGAAGATATAGCTCAGTGGGTAAAGTGTGCCTGGCTTCAATCCTCAGGATCAAAAAATAAGGAGTGTCCATCTAGCCATCTAGGTACTGGGTGCACTGAAATGAATAAGGGTGGATGACAGCAGCTTTTGATTGTTCATTACTACTCCATAATCTCTTTTAATTTGTGCTAATAATAGGGACTCAATTACTAAAACTCTTATTTGGTCAATTAGTTCATATACAAACACAAAAAACTGAAGCAAACTTATGGCTAAGTCATTATGATTATTTATTTTGACATGAGATCAAATATTTATAGTTCTTTTTGTAAGAATTTCAAATGCTACTAAGTCAGGGTTGGAGTCCAGTCAAATTGGGTTTGAGGGTTCACCTCCACTGTAGATCCCAGAAAACCAGGAAATTTAGCTCTGATTCCCCATTTGGGCCTCCGTCTTCTAATTTAGAATATGTGTGGTTCTCACCAAGGCCTTCTGAAGAACAATAAACTATATTAACAAATTAGATAAAAAATCAGCAGAAAGAAAGTAATATCTATATTCCAGTAGTGGAAACTTTTTGTTTTTTGTTCCGGGAATTCATCCCAGGGTTGCTTAACCACTGAGCCACATTCCCATTCCTATTTTGTATTTTATTTAAAGACAGGGTCTCACTAAATTTATTAGCACCTTGCTAAATTGCTGAGGCTGGCTTTGAACTCTCGATCCTCCTGCCTCAGCCTCCAGAGCCGCTGGGATTACAGGAATGCGCTACCATGCTCAGGGCAAGAGTGGAAACTTAACAGTGGAAAACATGCCTTATAGATTATGGTGGAGGGGAAAAAAAAAGAAAGGGAATATATTCAGATATCTATTATATGTCAAGTGTTGTGCTAGGATTTTTTTGTACGTTAGCTTCTTTAATTTAATCTAATCTCCACAACAGTCCTATTAGGTAGAATTTATCAGTATTTTCATTTTCAAGAACTTAGAAAAGGTTAAGTAATTTGTCCAGTGTCACATAACTACAGAGGCTGGAATTAGAATCCAAGTTTTTTTTTTTTAAATTTTAAAGTTCATGTTCCTTGGGGCTGGGGTTGTGGCTCAACAGTAGAGAGCTCCCCTAGCACATGCGAGACCCTGGGTTTGATCCTCAGCACCACATAAAAATAAATAAAGATTAAAAAAAAGTTCATGTTCCTTCTATTACACCAACATTAAAAAATCTGAAATCTCAGTCAGAAAAAAAGCAACTAGAAAACTAGAATAGACAAAACAGCTAATTGCTAGCTTTCCCCTTTACCTTTAACTACTAACCATTCACTTTCTTTGGTCCTCTTTTCCAAAACTGTCCTTTTTTTCCCTTTCATTCTTTTTTTGATACTGGGGATTGAACCCTGGGAGCTTTACCACTAAGCTACATCCTCAGCCATTTTTTATTTTGAGACAGGGTCTTTTTTATTAATATTTATTTTTTAGTTATAGGTGGACACAATATCTTTGTTTATTTATTTATTTATTTTTATTGTGGTGCTGAGGATTGAACCCAGTGCCTCACACATGCTAGGCGAGCGCTCTCCTGCTGAGCCACAACTCCAGCCACAGTCAGGGTCTTATTAAGTTGCTGAGGCTGGTCTTGAACTTGGGATCCTCCTTCCTCAGGCTTCCAAGTGGTTGAGTCGTGCACCACTGTGCCAGGCTAAAAATAGTCTCATCTGCTCCTATGGCTTTATTCCTATTATTTTAAACTAAGCATTATGTTTCTTTTTTTAAAAAAATATTTTTATTAGTTGCTGATGGACTCTTATTTATTTATTTACTTGCAGTGCTCAGAATCTAACCCTGAACCTCACACATGCTAGGCAAGCACTCTCCCACTGAGCCACAAACCCAGCTCAGCATTATGTTTCTTTTCCAATTGTGAAATTTAAAGTAGTAAAAGTAGTATTGTGCCTATAATCTGTAGTAGTCAATTTCTCCTCGAATATTAAGTGAGATTCATTAATATTTTCACTTAATCCATTGAGTTATTAAGAGTATTATTTTATACAAGAGAAATGCTGGATCAGTGTTTATTAAAGTTATGTGGCAATTCTTTGATATCAGAGGGGGTTCAGAAAATGTATTTTGCTTCTCTGAAAGATGTAGGAGCTTACCCGCCTATTCAGCAACTATAAGTTTGGATTTAGTTTTCTTGAATATAAATTGCCTGTTTTCTGTGTGATTTTCATTTTAAAGATGAATTAAAAAAATACACAGGTCGGGCACCATGGTGCACTCCTGTGAACTCAGTGGCTCGGGAGACTGAGGCTGGAGGATATTGAGTTTAAAGGCAGCCTCAGCAATTATCAAGGGGCTAAGCAACTCAGTGAGATCCTGTCTCTAAATAAAAATACAAAATAGGGCTGGGATGTGGCTCAGTGGTTGAATGCCCCC